TATCTTTTTATTGACCTGTTTTATTGATTGATTAGTTTGATTAACTTTGGTTAAATGTTTGATTTTACTACTGCATTAAATGTTCAGTGCAAAGAATTAGGATTCAGTATTTGGTTATTAGAAAAAAACAAAACTGAGATTAATAGACAAACCAATATTGGTCACTCTCGATTCTCGACCATCTCACACGTTGTGTTTCAGCTAAGTCTCTAGCTTACAAAAAGGATCAACCAGAATAATGAAATGCAAGATCCGATGGATACTAACAGCCGCTGGTTTACTCATATTTAAATAAAGTCCTGTTGTGTGGAAAAGTTCTAGTGGAAATCCATTCAGAGAGAACTGCTTAGTGAAGCAGGATGAAGGTGTGTGTGTGTGTGTGCGTGTGTGTGTGTGTGTGCGTGCGTGCGTGTGTGTGTGTGTGTGTGCGTGCGCGCGCGTGCGTGAGTGCCTGAAGCCAATCTGTTTTGTTGTGATTCATCCAAGCTAATGTCATCAAGCCAGCACTGTGTGTGTGTGTGTGTGTGTGTGTGTGTGTGTGTGTGTGTGTGTGTGTGTGTGTGTGTGTGTGTGTGTGTGTGTGCTGGCAGTACTAGAGAACAGTTGGTTCAGCCCATGGGGGGTTATTAGAGTCTCGCAGTGTGAGGAGATTAACACACACATACATATAGCCAGCCTATCAGCATGTTGTGTGCGTGTGTGTGTGTGTGTGTGTGTGTGCGCACGCGCGTTTTGATGAGATATTCAATATAAATGGATCATCTGTTGTTTAGTGTAATTTTTGAATTATTCGGGTTTCTTTATCAGCTTATTGAAACCTGAGCTATCAGACAAGCACACACTCGTGCGCGCACACACACACTCACATACAAATACACTGTGTTTTCGTTTTTGTTACAGATGTGTAAATTGAAGTTTTGGCTGTTTATATTTAAATAAATACATTGCCCTTTCCTCACACTAAATAAGTACCTGATTAGAATCCTGATTTTTTTTGTGTGGAGTCTCCTAATTGCACCTCTGTGTGTTTCCGCTTCATCCAAAAGCATGCACAACAGATAAACTGATTATTTAAACTTGACAACAAATATGAGATTTTATGGTCATTTGTCCCATTTTTCCAATGTGATTTATGTGGCGGAGGTAGCAAAGTCTCACGATCTAATTGTGGTTGGCTCTTGTCCCACACAAACAGGTGGTGGCCTGAAAATGAAAACTATGTACAGAGTAAACATTGTTAGCGGTATGAATTAAATGCCGGCTGCAGTTATACTGTTTGGCATTTATTACCCCTGACATAATGTAAAGTGTCACTTGTAGAAGTTTTGACTGAAACACAATTATTGGAAAAATGTACATTTTCAACCTATTATGTAGATGACTCCAAAAATGATTGAAAACATTCTTGAGAATATTTGTCTACTGGCATTGTACCAGTCTGTCTTGGCAGAGAAAGTCGAGCCAAAATATTGAAGCTGTTGATTTACCAGTTGAACTACGTTCCTACCCTCACCTATTTGTCACGAGCTTTGTGTAAAGACCAAAATAATGAGATCATGGATAGAAGCGGCAGAAGTGAGTTTTCTTCAAAGGGTGGCTGGGCTCTCCCATAGGGTGAGAAACGCGATCATCCAGGAGGGTCTCAGAGTAGATCCATGCTTCTTCACATCGAGAGGAGCCAGTTGAGGTGGCTCGGGAATTTAGTTAGGATGTCTGCTGGACGCCTCCCTGGTGAGGTTTTCCAGGCAGGTCCAACTGGGAGGAGACATAAAGGAAGACCCACGACACGCGGAAGGGATTATGTTTCTCAGCTAACCATGGAACGCCTTGGAATATCTCTCGAGGAGCTGGCCCGAGTGGCTGGGGAGAAGAAAGTCTGGGCCTCCCTGCTTAGGCTCCCCCTGATAGGGTGACCAGAAGCGGGACAGTCCCACATTTTCATAACTTTTCAAGTGTCCCGCAAATTAAGACTCATTTCCCGCATTATTGACAGTTTCCCATTTCGAGTTTCAATCTTATAAAAGAAACTGGATAAATCTGCCTGTTGCTGTCAAATGGAGGCGGGACCTTATCGCAGAACCGGAGCGTGTGTGGAGCGCGCCCGAACCACCAAAACAAGCGTTAGTGAGCGCGGAGGAGAAAAGGCTGTAAACTCGTGAATTAAAAGTGTTCAGAGATACTCGACAGAGTCTTTGTTGTTTCTGAGTCATTTTTCATGTCTCGGCGCGGAGTCTGATATGAAGAGGTCAAAAGCAGGTTTTCCAGTAATTAGACAGGTCCATGATAAACACAATGGAGGCTCTAACACAGACAAGGTGCTGCGGTTTCAGATACCTGCGTACATGCTGAGCCCCTTAAAGCACAGTAAAGAAATAATGAGACAATAAATGGAAGCTTTCATCACTTATTCTCAGAAATTTGAGGCAAAAAGTAACTCCAAGAAACTTTTATTAGATTAGATCTGAACTTTTTAGAGATTATAATCTGATGTTTGTTTATTCTCTCACCTAAAATTAGAAGAGATTTGTTGTCATGTTTAAAAAAACATTTTGTTTCTGAATTGTAAAAAAAAAAAAGCACTAAAATATGGATTTTTTTCAATGAGATGCTGATTTTAGTGGAAAATTAATTAAAAACAAACATAAAAACATCTCAAAAATAGTACTGGTTGTTTTACTGTCATTCTGTTCTGGAAAACATTCAATGAAAACTCTGAAAAGCTGCTTAAACCTGCATTTTTTTTTTTTATTATTGTGGGCCTATCTATATTATTAAAATTATGATCAGAGCCACTACAGAAGGCCCAAAGAGCCTGCGTTATGTTGTGGTAACTTGAGAGGAACTGTGAAATAGTAAAGCTTTTGCTGTATGCTTGTTCATGTTGAATTCAAATAAAATATATACAAGAAATATATGATGATAATAAGAATAATCGCTTTATGTATATGTAACAGTAATGTTAGGGCTCAAAGGCAGAATATACGTTTTGTTTTGTTTTTTCTCATTACATTGGAACTTCACGTTGTCCCACATTTGGCAAGTTGGGATCTGGTCACCCTACCCTGCGACCTGACCCAAAGCAGAGAAAAATAGATGGATGAATGGACAATAGATAGATGGATGGATGGATGGATGATGGATATTTGTTAATTGAATAAAAAAAATCATTTTATTATAAATTTCATCCAAAGGCACACAGGCATCTATCCTGCTTGTTTTATGGGTTCCACATTCCAACACGCCTGCTTAAAATATTTATTTTGTTTATTCATTTTACTGATATTTATCCCAAAGTGACAAAAGTGACCTAAAATGCATGTTTTAGGTCTGTGGGAGACAACCAGATCATCTAGAGAAAACCCACACATGCATGGAAAGAGCATTTTAACTCCATCAGAAAGTATTCAAACCTGCAACCTCCTTCGTTAAGCCTCCAGCACCTCCAGCTGCAGCAATCTGGTTAAATTAATAAGTTGATCAAACAGTTAAATTACGTCCCACATTCATAAAGTTGTGGAAAGGCCATTAAGTTATCCAAAAACTGCAGGACATTGGACTTCTAAGACCAGATGATAGAGACTAACCCCTAACCCTAAAGGGCACTTTGCAGGGACTGACCTTTTAGTTATAGAGGAAATCCTAAAAAGGAAATTGTAAGAAAAAAATTTACATTATATTTACAGTTAGGATTATTTTTCTGAAGCAGGAAACGAATGATTGTCCTGCACAGTGTTTGAAGCATAAACGTGTGTGTGTGTGTGTGTGTGTGTGTGTGTGTGTGTGTGTGTGTGTGTGTGTGTGTGTGTGTGTGTGTGTGTGTGTGTGTGTGTGTGTCTTAGTGTGAACTATTATCCAAAACTCCCAACAGCGACCACATGGCCCTGTCAACATGAGACTGGACTGCCGCTGTGTGTGTGTGTTGGCACTGTGGAGTTTGTGGTCATTATTGGAAACTTACCTCCATCTGGAAACAACCGGTTTGTGTGTGTGTGTGTGTGTGTGTGTGTGTGTGTGTGTGTGTGTGTGTGTGTGTGTGTGTTTGTAGCATCTCTGTAGGTTCTGTCAGCACATATCAGAATCATCTCTATTGATTTGGGTGGAGAACATCTTCCTCACATTTGGTTTCTAATTCTGATAGAAAGAGAAAAAACATTAAAGTTTTTATTAACTGGCAGCATAGAGATTAATCTGCTGCTCTTCATCGTCATTTGAGCCTTTTAGTGTGTGTGTGTGTGTGTTTTAGCAGCATATAGAGGTTTTACCACCTTCAAACATATCGAGTCTCAACAAGAAAATAGATAAAACAATCAGATTAGTTGTGAAGGCCAGTCGTAATTCACTCTGATTGTATTTAGATTATTTCCTAGAAGCTCTGATTGTTTCCAGAATGTCGATTTGAATATGTTCAACATCCACTGAGCACCACATGTGGAGAAAGAGCAGCAACAACAGATCAGTGTAGCACATGAACTGTGACCTCAGCATATGGAGGTTGGGCTCTCTGGGGGAACGAGGGCAGATGATTTGGGTTATTTGGTGTTTGATAACAGCAAGAGGGTCTTTGAAAGAGGAGAGGTTAATCATCAATAATCATTTAGAAGTGTTTCCTGATGAATCTGTCCACCCTCAGGTGTTTTTTCTGCCTCCTCCTGCTGCAGTTTTTGTTTGCAGCTTGCTGTTAGGATTCATATTTAAATCTGAAAGGATAAATCACTGACCCAATGTTTTTGTTGATTAGAGTGGATTAAAACTAATCATTTAGAAGTTATTTATTTCCTCTGCAGATGTTTGTCCACCTGCTATGTCATGTGTTTGTAATTCAGTGTGTTGTATGTGCAAAGCTGCCGTTATCTTCTGAAGATTGAAAGATGAATCTGACTGAATCCATCAGTAATAAACTATAAACACATCAAATTCCTATGTGCCCCGTTAATCTGCACGGTGCAGCACTTGTCTTCTGAAGCATGTTGAGCTCACGTGTTGCATGTTTCCTTGTGCAGGTGAGGCGAGCGTGCTGCAGACAGGCGTGCTGCTGATGCGGGACGTGTTCGCTGTGAAGGTGAAGAAGCGACGAGCAGCAGGTCAGCAGTTAGGGGGAGCCGTTCTTGGTGTGTCTCTCTTCTGCTGCAAGAAGAGAGGGAGGGCGCTGGAGGAGGACACACTCCACCTCCATAATGCCTCTGCAGAACACACGCACACCTGGTATAACACCTTGAAAGAACTGCTCACAGGTAGATATGCAGCCATCTTTTTTGCCATTAAAAAAATAATATAATTATTATGCAAACGGTCCTCAGAATGAAGATTACACCTGATGGCCTCAAAGAAAATCCAGATTAATAAATATCTATAGATGGATGGGTTACATAAGCTGGAACAATGGAAACATGAGTCAGTGAATGCATAAGGTGATTATAGACACACACTGCTGAGTAATGCTGTTGGTCAGTGCATGAGCGTCATTTTCTTCAGATACATAAACTGAAATGTAACACCACTTTAAATGACCCGTTTTATTGCTAACTGCAATCAGATGTTGTTGTTTTTTTATTTAAGTTATTTAGTTGTGATATATGTGCAAATTCATATTCACAGCAGGTAACAGATAAGCTAGTATGCTATTTTTAATTTTTGTTTAAACCATTAAGGTTTAAGTTGGTTATAAAATATAAAATAAAGGTATTGACGCAGAAGATCTGATTCTGGGAGAGGGAGTCTTGAAGAATAAACACAGTAATAGCTGACTGAAATAGGAAACCAAAGATCCTAGAATGTTAAAAGCTATGCTACTTTAAGCCTTTGCGATCAAAGGTAGGCACAATATATGCCGTTGGCACCATTGAGATGTCAGTTATCTTAAATAAGAGTTATTTTAGTCAGCCTGAATTTATACCTGGAAATAAAACTCTTTGTTTCAGGGAAACTCCGTCCATGCCTGCTCCGAGAACAGCATCTTAGGCAAGCTTATTACTGTATTGGCTACGGTAGTTCATTAGTAAAGGCACCTTTCTGTCATCTCCGTATTGCTGTGTGCTGACGTGGGTTCGAATCTCGGTGGTGTGGGCAGTAATTTATTTAGTCAACTGAAACAGATTTCATTTTTTTATATTTTAGTTTTGTTCATTATTTTGTGCAAAAAACTTTGTGTCTCTAAACATCTTTGAATTTGGTCATTTCCAAGCAGCATTTTAGTTGACTTACTCTGCTCACCTCACATGGACTCACACTGGCTAAATAAACAAAGAAAGCAAAAAACAAAAAAAAAGATTAGCCTTTATATTTTAAACAGTTTGCCAATAAAGGGTTAAAAACATCATCCCTGCAAGTTTAGCCAAAAAAGAAGAAAAAAGTTACTTTTGACACCGGGATGTGAACCTGCACACCTGCCCAGCATACTTACCACTAGACCACCAAGTCTGCCACAGGACACTGGTTCCACTTCCGGGAGCGGAGCAGGGCCTGATGTTGGGAACAGGAAGATAGAGCGACATATGCTGTTTCGGGAATTTCAAATCACAATTCAAAATGTGAAGCTAAAACTGGAAAATGCATGAGTGCAGTCAAACATGGGCATGGGGGTATTTTTCATGACGAAATAACAATATTACATGCAAAAAAGCTCCAAAATGTGGCTTTTCCATGGTATGGCCCCTTTAAAATACATCTACAAAACCCTGTGTTTGACAAGATGCAGCCTGCCCAAAAGTATCATTAAATGCACCTAGGATCTTCTACCAGGAGCCTTTGATCATGATTTATTTATTTATTTACTTATTTGTTTATTTATTTAACCTTAAGATGCATCTTGTGATTCTGCTAAGCACTGCTTTCAGCTCATAATAAAATTTTACTGTCTTTACTCGCTTTAAAAGGTGATTCACAGTTACATCAGACCGGATGTCTTATCTGATAATCCAGTAGAACAAAGACGCACAGATTACACACACACACACACACACACACACACACACACACACACACACACACACACACACACACACACACACACACACACACACACACACACACATTTAGCAGTATTTATGTGCTGTCAGCAGTTGAATCATACTGTCTGCAGGAGAGATTAGCTAAAGAACCATCTACATAAACTCGTGATGGATTTATTTTATAAAACTATTTTTGCTGCACAAATACAAAACAGTTTCATGCAGATTTTATTATTTATCAAAAATGAACATCGAGCTTCAGCTTCCCTGTCCTGCTAACAAAGTAAAAAATCTGTTTCATTTCATTTTAACAAAATGGCCTGTATTTGATATGGCGCCTTCTAGAGTCCTGGAACCCCCCAAGGCGCTTTACAACACAACCAGTCATTCACCCATTCACACACACATTCACACACTGATGGTGATGAGCTACGATGTAGCCACAGCTGCCCTGGGGCGCACTGACAGAGGCGAGGCTGCCGAGCACTGGCGCCACCGGTCCCTCCGACCACCACCAGCAGGCAACGTGGGTTAAGTGTCTTGCCCAAGGACACAACGACAGCGACATACTGAGCGGGGCTCGAACCTGCAACCTTCCGATTACGGGGCGAGCACTTAACTCCTGTGCCAACAACTAAAGACTAACTTAAAGACTGGGTCAGCTAAATGTTTTTATTAAATCTTTATTACCTAAGAATTAGTTTTTCAAAAGACTCCTGACATCAATGCATTATTTTTAGATGGAAAGTTAAAAACATTCCTCTAAAATATTTTATTTCACAGCATCTGAAGAATTTACAAACATGAAACGTTCTTAAAGTTTGTTCCTAAAATGTTGTTGCTTTTTGTTCATTGTGCATCAGATTGGTTCAGAAAGCTCTGTAATAAACCTGTAACATTTAGCATTTAGACATTTTTTAAATAAATTTCATCCTAATTTTTCTGTTCAATGACAGATTTCTGCATTAAAGTGTGTTCTAGTTACTGATGTTTTAATTTAGGCGCAATCAGGTGTAATCGTTTAAACGCATCAGTTAGTATGCAGTCCAGTCTGTAGAAATGAGCCATGTTTTAGCTTCCTAACCCTAATAATAATCAACTTTCTCAACAGCACAGCCACCTGCTGTCAGGGCATTGTTTTTAAATGAAGTCCTGGATGTTAGTGTAGATTGACTTTCCCATGCGCTAGTTTCGCAGGTGGACTGTAGTGGGCAGTGCCCTGCTGACAGTTACTCAATGGAAATGTGTGTATGGATTTAACTCGCATGAATGCACTTTACATTTCAGGTCCTCTCTGTTCATCCAGCTTCGTCAGACCCGAAAGAGACATTACAAGCTATCGTTAAATGAGGAGGTCAAAGTTGACACTCGGGCTAGCGTTGCTCTCTCACCATGGCATCAGTCTGAGACGTTATCGCTGGTCACCTGTCTGACTGTGCTTCTGTCTGTCCATCAAACAAGATTACCTTTGAGGTCCTGCAGCAAAGTCACAACTTCTTTAAAACTGCATAGCCTCAAACTTACTCGCATGAATGGCTCGCAGGTCGAGTGTCAGCTCGTGTGGTCACACCGCACATCAAATTGTGACGGCCTTTGTGACTTTGAACACAGCTCTGGAGGAGTATGTGAAAGGTAAACACAGTAGGTTGCTTTGCTGCTGTGCGGACATTAAGCCTATTTTCCAGCCAGAGGTCAGTGTGAAAAGCCCTTTGTTGTATGAATTGTGGCGTCGCCGCTGCAGACACCATCACCACTTCTTAACCTTGAGGTCCGAACTCTCAGTGACACAATGGTGAGCAGAGAGCAGACACTTCCTGTTTCTAGAGCATTATATGCCATTTGCTGAGCGAAGCAGCTGCAGAGTACTGTGCAGAAAGTGAATGGCAGTCAAGGTTACAAAAGATGAGGATTTATTGAAAAGGCTGTTTGAATGGATACGGTAAGATGGTGGGGTTGTTTAACAAGTCATCAGACTTACAGTCTGGTGACGCTGAAGCTCCATGTCACTGAACCGATCTGAGAAAAAACTCAGACTGAATGAAGTCAGGCTCATCAGCTGTAAAACAAATGGGTCCATCACTTTTGAATTTCCTCTTATGTATCTTTCAGCTTTTAGCTTTTTACTCCAGAGTTTAGCCTGTTCATGCAGTAGTTTTGAATGGGACTTATTTGATAAAGGGTAGAGGGTTTGGCTTTAACGTATGGCTAACGGTGTCACTTTATGCCTTTAGAAAAGTTAATGTTCCTTTTTTAGGGACCCTGCTAAACTCGTAAATCTCCTCAGTTCACATGTCTGTTTCATTTGCATGTTGCTGATATAAAATATCTATTGTTTTAGTTCAGAAGTGTTTCAATCAGAGTGAAATGCTGACCTTGGTAAACGGATGATGATTTAAAAAAAATCATTACATCAGTCTATAAAAATCAGCTTTAACCCTCTGATGCATGAATTATGAAATCTTCAACCATGATTTTTTAAACAATTTTTTCATCCATCTTTAGGTGTGAATGAAACAAATTTCAACAAATAATTTTTGTAACATTTTGTTAATTTACAAATAATTTATTACATGTCCATCTCAGAAGACAGCGTGCATTCTGAACATGAAATATGTTGGCTTGACTTACTGAAGTCCAAATGGAGGGGCTCACATGCAATAAAGTCTTCAACAGCTGTGCTTAATAGCAAAAATAAAGTAATAACAATTTTGAGTACCTGTCCACTGTAGTGACCATTATGCATCAAAGGGTTAAGATTCCAGCAACTATATCCATAAGCAGCAAATTATTAACCATATCCTTTATATATATATATATATATATATATATATATATATATATATATATATATATATATATATATATATAATCTCTTTTCACATAAAGACCGATCCATCCAAAGATGTCTCTGTAAACAACTTCATGACCCTTCATGTGTGTGTGTGTGCGTGCTGCTGTGAGTTACATATTAACTAATAAGTCAGTAAACGTGTGCGTATCCATGGTGACTGGATGAGAGCAAACTGCCTACTCCTCTTCCTATTTTCACATTCAGGTTGACTTTGTTAGTTTTTCAGGAAATTCGTATTTATTTAACAGCAGCACACATTCATTCAATAAAAGTCAAACATTTGGATGTAGACTTTTAGTACACCTCAAACAAGGAGGAGAAATGAATAGATGTGTTTATCTTTATGGCTTTGCCAGTGCAATGTGACCTGAGTCTCAAATCCCTGTATAAGTAATTTCAAGTCCAGTGATATAGAACATGAGACAGTGCATCTGTATCATTTGTTGAATAGAAGAGTTAGCTGTAAGTGATGCTAATGTCAGCTCGCATCTCTTCTGTTTTCAAGTCATCGTGAATTTTTGTGAGCTTCCGGTAAATCTTACGTATCCTAATGAAAGGTGGTTTAGGATTCACTCATTCACTGTGCCAAATTTGTGAGAGAAAATGTAGTTTCTCACTGAATTGGTGCAAGGATCATTTCTGTGGCGAGCTCTATAATTGGCTGGGTCACATGGGGAAATCACTGCAAAGGAAATGAAGCATTTTTTGAAATATTTATTGAATTTTCTCGTTGCAGTTCATCCATTTTGTCTCAATTCTATTTGCAGTTTGTTTGCCAACACACATTTGTCTGACATTTCTTGCATTTCTCAATTGCAGAAGAAAATTCAAGGGTTCAAGACGCATTTGTCGACTCTTGCAGCTTTTTTAAAAATGATCGTTGTCATGCGTGCAGATAAAATTCAAGAAAAAAGAGAAACTAGCTTCAAAGACAAATTATGTTGCTGGGTTTTTTTTGTACAACCTGTGGTCCTTTCCATCTTTCAGTTCTTTTTAAAACACAGAAAAGGTTTAATTGACAGCAACGTTTCGTTTGCGGCTGCAAACATCATCAGGCTGACGCCGATGGTGGCGTCACTTCCTTCGTTTATCCGTGGGCAGCAGAGGACGTTGTCGCCCTCTGCTGCCCACTCTCCCCTCTCCGACAATGCAGTCCCATGTGCGATCCAACGAGTAAACTCCATCATCTCTGTTCATGGTCCCACATCCACGTCTCCTTATCTTGATAGCTTATTTTATCCATCTTTTGTATTTCTGTTGTTCGGTGTTCATGATCCTTGTCTTGTCCCAGTCCATTATATGGTTTTCTCTTATGCAGTGATCTGTTACGACTGACTTCTTTATTGTACTTTCTGCTTCTTGTTTTGCTGCTCTTGTGTGTTTTAGACTTGCCTCTTTCTCGCACTCCTTTCTATGTTCTATTGTTCGTGTGTTGAGTTGGTGTCCGGTTTCTCCTATGTATGTTTTATTGCAGAGTTTGCATGGGATTTCGTAAATGACTTCACATTTAAGTCCAGCTGGTATTTAGTCTTTTGGGTGTACTAGTCTGTTTCTAACTGTTGTGTATGGTTTTGTTGGTGTGTTTATGTTGTTTTTTCATTGTTGCTCTTATTTTTTCTGTTATGCCTTTGATGTATGGTAAGGTTATCACTGGTTTTGGTTCTTGTCTTTCTGGGTTTCTGGTCCTTTGCTTTGGTTGTTCTTTTCTTTCTGTTGTTGTTTGTTGTTTTCCTTTGTTTATTGCCCATGTCGGGTATCCGCAGGTCTTTAAAGCGTGTTGTATGTGTTTGTCCTCTTGTTTACGGTCCTTTATTTAATCTTTCTGACAAGCCCTGGTGGAAAATGCTACATTATCAGGAGGTATGTTCATGAACGGTGTCACGTCACTACTTGCAGTTTTTCTGTGTGATTTCAAACCCCAAAATAATCATATTGTCACCAGCATCAGACGGTCTCTTGTTTTTGTCAACAACATTCAGCAGTCCAGCCTTAAGTCCTCTGTTGGAAACTCAACACTACTTCATGACAACAATGGGATTGTTTACCATGGAAACTCTTCATCAGCACCATAGCAACACCACTGACTGAGGCTGAGAGATGATCTGATGAATGTTTGACCTCTTTAAATCCCTGTGTCCATTTTCTTCTGGGAAATGTAGAAACAAAATGGACCAACATCCTCTTGTATTACTGTGTTTGAGCATTAGCAGCACCCTTGCACCACAAGAACATAAGTAAGATTCAGTAAGGCTGTTCAGTATTTGGTCCATTTGGGAGAGCCTGACCCTCGGTGCACCACAGCCCTGTGGACAACAAAAGAATTCAAACGTTTGCTAATGTACAACCACAGCTCAAACTCCATAATGTGTCATTTTAAATTCCTGTTGTACCCTGGGAGCTTAAAGAGGTCAGGAAATGGGACCTCCTGCATTTATAGAAGGAGTTAAGTTACAGCACTGCTGCTTCACAACAAATATCTTGACTGTCGTTTTTGTTGTGTCCATGTTTGCATGTTTCCTCCACTTTGCCTTGTTGATCCATTTCTTCAATGGTTTAAATTTCCCTTTGCTAGTTTTTCTGTTTGAATCATACATCACATCAGGTTGATCTTTATTAAATATTCAATGATTTAAGGAAACAAGTTGGATGTTGCAGATCAGTCCCTCTGCATATGACCTTCAGAGCGACAGAGCTGCCTTTTTGGTACTACTGTGAGCTGGGGTTTAGGGGTTGGGGTTCCTATGGGGTGACGCATGGTTGAGGTATCAGGTGGCTCCTCACAAGATCTCTGGAGAACCTGGTCAGCTCAATGGAGTGAAGGTGGGAGGTGCAGTTTTTGTATGCATGCGGGGTCATTAATAGGGCGAAGTCACGGCCTGTTGGGAGCAGATTATAGTCATGAGCTGGATAATGGAGCTGGTGTGTGTATTGATCTGAGATAGTCTATAGGGATTCATAATGCGGTTTTTAAATCTGCCTAATGATGATCTGCACAGGGGGTGGTGTGTGTGTCTGTAATCTTGAGTCAGAGCTATAAACAACACACACTCCCTGTATCAATCATTTTTGAGCATGTTGCAGCAAAAAGTCCAGTCATTATTATTGCTTGTTTGTTACAAATTTGATTTTTGAGTATTTGTATAAATCCACAAATCCTGTAAAAACAGACCTAAAAGGATTCATCTTAGCAATTTAGGAAAGTGCCAGCCATGTCCTTCATACGGCTGACTTCACATGAATCTCTAAGTGCTTGTTTATTTGACATGCACTCACATTCCTAATGAAAATAAATTTTATTTATGTAAAACAAGCATCCCCTAGTGCTTAGCTGCAGTATAATGTTTAGTGTGTGTGTGCAGGTTTCAGCAGTCGTCCAAGGTATCTGAAGGTTTTCATCAACCCCAGCAGCCACAAGAAGGAGGCCGTTCACATCTACAGAGAACACGTGGCTCCTCTCTTCAAGATGGCCGACATTCGCACTGAGATCACAGGTTTGCCCATTCAGCACACATGCATGATACTACCTGGAACAAACACAGAAGTTCAATTTAGTTCATTTTTGTTTAAAGTTTTTACATTTTGTTTTGTTATTAAAACGTATGTGAAGATTTATTCTTGTTCACCATCAAAAGATACATCACCGAAATCTGTGCATGAGTTTACTTGTGTGTCCAGGTCCAAAGGTCAGACCTAAGTGCAGTTTCTGGTTGCTAGGTAACCTGATACAGGAGGCGGAGCTTTGTCCATCTGTTGTGACAGAGGGGGACAACTTCCTCTCCTCTTTTACTTGTCTTCTCTTCTCCACATTTTTTGTTGTTTTCTCCTCGTTTTCATCGTTTTCCCTCATCCTCTTCTCAACAGATGGTGTGATATCCGTTGTCCTAATTTTTTTGGCTGCTATCGAACACACGCTTGTGTTCCTCTGACCACACACACGCTCAAACACTTTATCTGTGTCCCTTTGAGTGTCTCTCCATCTGCTTACCTCTCTCTTTTCTTTCTTTCCCCGTCTTTAATTGTCTTTTTTTCTATCTGTCTGTCTCCAGTAACTGAGAGGAAGGGTCATGCTCTGTCAGTGATGAAGGAATGCAAACTGGATGAATTTGATGGGTTAGTTCTTTTGCTCTTTTTTTGCTTTAAATAAATAGGTTGAAAATCAAACGTCCATTAAATAGGAAAAAAAACTGCCTTATTGTACCATGGAAAGTACAGAAAACATGTTAGTAATGACATATTCTGGTTGTTTTACAAAATAGTTCTTTGCAAGCAACAATACTTTATTTGGGACAGGACTATTGGGAAAATCTTCTGCCAATATATTTTAAATAAAACAATTTAAAGTTTAGGTTTTGTTGCATTTGTTATGCATAAGTTTAGTAAGTTCATGATACCTAAAAGTAAACTGAGTTGACACGTTTGAGATTGTGACACCATCCTTTAAACCAGACTGAAGTGAAGCATGTAATCAAACAGCAGTTTACTGCCAGAGACTGACACTAAAACACACTGACCCAGACTGATCTATTCGACACACACACACACACACACACACACACACACACACACACACACACACAAACACACACACACACACACACAGTTCGACCAACCAAGCTTGTGAACTGGGCCAAAAATGTAAACAAGCATCAAGTTTTTATTCCACAGCAAATGTGGAAATATGTTTTGAGGCAAATAACACAATAGCTACAAGTGCAGATTTATCAAACTGTCATCACTCTATCAGTGTTGGTTCATGTGTGTGTGTGTGTGTGTGTGTGTGTGTGTGTGTGTGTGTGTGTGTGTGTGTGTGTGTGTGTGTGTGTGTGTGTGTAAGCAGCTTTAGTGCTCAGCCCTCATGAAGCTTAATGTTCTTAGAAAAGATTAGCTCAGTATTGCTAAGCTAGCTTCTGTGTGTGTGTGTGTGTGTGTGTGTGTGTGTGTGTGTGTGTGTGTGCGTGCGTGCGTGCGTGCGTGCGTGCGTGTGTGGCGCTACGGTGGTGAGGATTTGGTTGAAACCTACATTTGCCAATTAGGCTGGCTGTCACCGTGGTGACCAGAGTTCCAAGTAATCCATGTGCGCAGGAGGAGGGGGACGGGGGTGGAGCCTGTTTCTCTCCTATTTACTGCAAACTCAACTCTGAAGATGAAGCATCAAAAAAAATTTTTTTTTACCTGTATAAATATTTTAAAAATCATTTCCATTTATTCATATCAGTGTCTTGGTCTAGTATTGTTTCAGTGCTGTGTTCAGTGTAAGACCAGTATGAACATTTACTTGTTGGAAGTGATCAGGAATTGTATGAGTTGTAAATGTTTCATGGGTGTAACAAATCCTTACAACACCCCTCTTTCTCCCTCTCTCTTGAAAAGCTATGTACTGTTTTTATATACTTCAGTTAAAGCTGCAATGGCAAATCTTCAAAACAAGCTAGCTTTTTAAACGCAAACCCAGTCACAGAATTCTCACCCCTCCCGTTTTCTATCATCTACCTGATATCGGAGCATGCATTGCCCAAGTAAATGAGAGAACACAAAAAACCAATCGTTGTTTTTTATGTACAATTGTCTTTTGTTATCCATAGCCTCTTTTAGAAAACAATGTTGCCAATTTGTTGCAACACTGAGCCGGCATCAGAGAGCTTTATGTCGTTTATAATTGTTCAGATCGTGGCAGTAGAGATTACGCGATGGCAGTATAAACGGGGTATGGGGCGGCCTCTGCGCTGTCACAGACTTCTGTTTATCTTGGACATAACTTGCTTTTTATTGCAATCAAATCTGGGCTCATTACGTTTTTTCAACAAGCCGCTCCTAAAGGTCTTTTCCCCACAGTCCCCGTGCAGTCTCTGGTTATCTGAGCTCCAGCTCTAATGGAGAGAAGCTCCTGGAGCTCTGCATCGCTCCAGTTTGTCATCTCAGCTGATTCTGTTTCCAAATGCAAAACTTACAGCCTGTGTTTACTTTAATTCTTAATATTATAGCCGCCTGGAGCTCGGCAGTAACTCCACACATGATCATGACATCACCCTCTCTTGCGCCAAGGTGTAATAAGCATTCACAAATCCAGCATGGCAGCAATATTACTACCAAGTGTGGCATCACGAATGCCGCAAAATTCCTGCAATGCCATGCCGCCACGGCGCATTCATAAAACACACTGGGGCAGCAGAATTATGCTGATTTGCCAGCATGGTGTGTCTTCTAAAAAGGGCTCATGACTTCAAGTGGTATTTTTCTTTTAGGGACTCTGGTTGTTTGTCCTAAAGTTGAAGTGGTAGCAGCTGGCTGTTTGTCCTTCTCTGACATTATTGAGCAGAGAATCTCTCAAACCAGTGGTGCTCTGTTGCAAAACGTGTAAGCGCTTAATGAGTGGAGGATCCAGGTAAATGAGGAAGTGCGGTTATTAGCTGAGACAGACAACCAGATAATCCAATCGTTGGTTTCGGACCGAGCTATGCTATTGGCAGAGTTTTTTAGACAAATGCAAGAGAACGACTTCATTTAGTTTTTTCGTTTTTTTATGTCTATAATTTGTTTATAGCTATACTATGTTAGAACATTGTTAAGAGTCATTAACAATGTTCTGTTGATATCCGTGGCACTAAACTGGTTCAGATCTTGTTGCCACTTGGAAACGTCATCAAAAAACAAATTATCTTTCCATTGTTACGCTCATGATGTCCAGATTTATTTGCCAGAAAAGTCCAGTAGAGGTGAGACAATATCTTCCCTGTTACACTGTATGCAGGGCATACAGCTGTGATTGTCAGAACATTTCTTACACCTTAACAACAACAAAAGTGAGTATATTTTACTTTCCTCACTAAATATGCAGAACGTCACACTGTCAGATTTTGTATCTTTAGCCCCAAGTTTTAAGCATCAGGTTAGAAATCTGGATATTATTGACAAGATTGGTTGGTTGGTTGATAAAACAATGTTACAAGGTAGCTGGTTTTGCAGATTTGCCAATGTCTTTAATCAGGTAAAAGTCTCACTGAATATAATCTCTCTTTCAAGAGAGACCTGAATGGTTTTATTGTTATTTGTTCAAGGTGCAGCTTTTTAAAGGTATTTTTATGATCCGTGAAGTTTCTTTTCCTTCACAATAAAAGCTCAGAGTTTATGTTCCCCTGTATTTGTCCGTCCACTTGTCCTGATGAAGATCTGTTTCCACATGTCAGGGTGGTGTGTGTCGGCGGGGATGGATCAGTGGCAGAGCTGTGTCACGCTCTAGTTGTCAGAGCTCAGCTGGATGCAAATTCTCCAGAAGAACCAGTGAAAGCAGTCCTGCCACTGGGAATAATTCCTGCTGGTGAGACATTTTCATCACAACCCCCATTTGTGAGAACTACCGTGCCAGATATGACATAATGGTTTTTATTTTTTTTAAAGGTTCTACAGATGTGATTTCCTGTTCTGTTCATGGAGTCAGAGATCCAGTCACAGCAGCCCTCCATATTGTTCTTGGTACCATCTATACCATCTTTTATCTGTACTTTATCTAGGCCTAAATGTTCTATAGTTGCATGCTGTAGAAATATTGTTTTTTAAAGGTCTCTTTATTAGAAACAATCAGTGGCGGCTCATCCATAGGAGGTGCTAGGGCGCCACCCCACCAGTCTCACATGAAGAAGAACATAGGAAAAAAACATGAAATTTCAACTAAATGATCTATACATCATACAGACTTAAGCCTGATTCATGCTTCTCCGTCTGCGTCAGTGCGGAGACACGCAACGCCATTATCCGTCCTTGCGGGCCTGCTGGAGAGCTCCGCAAGGACGCACGGATTTGAGCTCTCTTTTCTAAACAGCCGTCCGTCGAGACGGACAATGAAAGCTTGTGATTGGTCAGGACGCCGCTGTCGTCTACACCGCCGCCATTGCGCCCTCAAAAACATAAAGAGAGCCGAGGATGACTAGCGGCAGACACGGAGAAGCTTGAAGAATACCTCGCAAAAAAACTCTAAAAACATGAACGTTTAATTCCCCGTGACTGGAGGAGTGCAAAGATGCGCAGCAAGCGTTTTATTAGTGGACGAAAATGACAGGAAACGTGGGTTTAGAGGTGGTGAGCGCATGAAGAGGTGGAGGAGGATGAGAGACAAATTTGTCTGTTAAAAAGTCTTATGTACAAAAAACACAATATAAACACACGATCTTGGACCGATACATGACAGGATACCACAGAACAGCGCTACACCCTCTGTTGTCCTGCCGGGGAATTGCTTTGCAACACTCTCCAGGGGACGGAGAAGTATGAGAGCAAAAGGCTTCCGTCAATCCATGCGTGTCTGTCCCTTGCGGAGCTGACGGAGAAGCATGAATCAGGCTTAAGTGTTGTATAAAATCTGGATTTAAGTGTAGTTTAAAAATGTTATTTACACTTTCAACCATGGATGTAGTTTTGGGGGTACAGAGGGGACATGCTCTTTGGGCACATCCAAATCATGTGAAAAAGTGTAGCAGACTGATATCTGGGTTCTGCCTTATGGCAATAGCCAAAGGCTCAATTGCAACTGCAAATAGATTGTCGATCTTTCACAAACCCTGTCTGGTCAGGTGAAACAACTGTGGGGATAGTCGAGCCTGGACCTTCGCGAGATTTTTAACATCTACATAAGAGATATTAGTCTGTTATAAGTGCAGCATGAGGGGTTGTTAAGCAGATATAACAGCTGGACACATTGTTGGTGGGAGCAACTGAGTAGTGGGGGACTCATTGAAGACCGACTCCAGCATTGGTGAGAGTAGTCCAGACACATTTTTTTTAACTCTGCCAGAAAGCCATCCAGTCTGGGAGATTTGCTGATGTTTATGTTGCTGTTTGTAGAAGCAGTCTTGGTCAATTAAATATCCTTAAATATCCTCAGCCAGACCAGCACTCAGAGAGGAAATAGTCATACAATTGAAAAAAGATCATCCTCTGTAGAGGAGAATTCAGATGAGTATAGCAATCTGTAAAATTGATTAACACATGAGTTGATCATTTCATTGTCCAAGCATCGTTTGCTTGAATGGTCTGAAAGACCAATCTCTTATTTAGCTGATGTGCGAGCATGCGTTCTGTTCTCCCTCCATGTTCAAAATATTGGCAGCATGATTTAGGAATGGTATATTCAGACTGTTGTGAGGCAAAAATATTAAAATGTTTAGAGTGTCATTTGATTCTTAATCAGGGTCAGTGAGGGGGAGTGTCTAAAGTCTTTGGCTCCTCCAACAGTGATTTCAGCCAATCATCTCTTTTTCTTGTTCACATAGTGAAAAATTATTTGACCTATTCAAGGACTCCTAGATATTATAAAACAGCATTGCCAACGTTGATCTCGATAAAAAAAATGTATTCCAGTGCTCATAAACTCAACAAAACTGCAAAGAGCAGTACATTGATGGCGATCTTGGGAAAGCAAATTTCAAATGGAGGAGACTATGGTCTGAAACAACAATGGCTGTGTTTCAATTACCGGAACTTCAGGGTAGATTTATAGAAATCTCCCGACATGCCCATGTTTCCACTTGGCCAGACTGGCTGAACGGCCGTTTTCCGGGCCATTTTCAGGAGCCTTCTGAGTACCTGCTCAGGGGTAGGTGCTCCAAACAGCGCGGTGGAGTAGCTGAGCAGAACCTTTGGTTAGCTCACGCTGATTGGTTGTAACTCAGTAGAAAATGACATCAACAGACGTTGTCCAAAACAACCGGCATTAGTAAAATTTGAAGAGTTGCTTGAGATGTAGAATGGAAGCAAAGGAAAATAAGCACTGATAACTGTTAAAATCTAACTCCAAACACCAGAAAACATGGCAGAATTCCCTCACAACTGTTACTAAACTCTCAACACTGGAAATAAAATAGGGAAACTCCCCCACAGACTTAATTAACTGGGCTTTGTTGTTTTACAGAGCGCTGTAAAAACAGCACTTCTTCTGGTCATTGAACACCACATTTTACGTCACACAGCTGCACTTATTCTCTGAATGCATTAAATTATGTTTTACCTTGAAAGAATAATGCCTTTATTATTATTATTAATGTCGCTTTGGACACTTTTTGATGCTAATCAATGACATCACTCACTGCCAAAGCTGTCACAATATGCTGACGTCTGTGCAAAGTTCTGAAAGGGCTGAATTTGAACGGAGACAACAGCTGAGAGGACTGGGACATTGTTTCTCCTGGTCAACTTCCCTATCCCAGGAATTACCCTGAAGTTTTGGTAATGGAACCACAGCTATTGGCACCATAGTGACATTCCTTCACTGTATGCAAACTTTTTGCATCAGCACAAAAAAATATAATTTTGGGGAAAAGTTTTGTGAACAGAGTAAAAAAAAAAAAAAAAAAGTTACCCCCTCGAATTAGGATTCTGAGAACGCCACACATAAACTGCCCCATAATAGCCCAAGAAGCTTTGAATTGACTGAGAAGATTTAATAAGAGTCAGCCATCTAGTCACACTCTGGTCCATCGAGGAGAGCACACCCATTATGGGTTAATGTTGTGAGAGGTAACTGAGAAAACAACCTAGCAAAAAAGGAATGATCATCTCAATTCAATGTGTATACCAATACCAGGACAACTGGAAGTGTGAACATTTCACCCACCACAACTATATGACACCCTGCAGAATATTTTTGTTCACTTGAAACAGTGAGTTGTACCTGATTACCAATTGTGATTGCAACCCCCCGGCCTCATATAGAATCAACAGTTGACTGAAACACCTGACCAGACAATTTTTTTCCTAAAATGGGAACTCAGATACAACATCCCTCCCAACCCCACAGAATCTAGAAATAATGATCCCCCTCAGAAAAAAATCAACTCACCATGTGCTTGTATGGAGACACTAAACCGAGACAACACCCCACTGGGCTCCCAACCAGACTCCTAGAAACAACACAAAAACTCAATTCAATTAGCCAGAAAATAAAAATAAATGGCAATAAGCAACAGTCCAAACCCCCACAACAGTACCTCCATTAATTCCATCAAACAAAAAGTAGATGTCTTTAAAACAGCCTGACGTGAATTTTGTCTGCAACACGGCAACAATAGCTTAAACACATTAAGTTGTCTGCTCCAGAGATGACTTTGCTCCTCATGTAGGCCGTGGCGGCCTCCGGTTTGGGGAATACTATATCCTTCACGTCATGGGTGATGCAAAGACTTGCTGGAAATAGCAGGCTGGAGCAAACATCTCTTGCTGGAAATAGCAGGCTGGAGCAAACTTCTCTGAGGTCTTGAAGAAGCTTCTTCACGCCTGTGAATGCCGCCCTGGCTTGGGTGATCCTGTGTAGTGAGGGAAGATTGAAATCGATGCTCCGTAGTAGCAAAGCTGGCCAGAGGAACGTGCATGACTCAGACTCACCATCCAGTGTTGATACTAATGTAACTTAGCAACAATGGCTCAAGGTTTGTTGCTCACCTGTTGGAGAGCTCTGTGGGATCCGTCTCACTCAAGTTGAAGCAAAACACCTTAGCCACAGTTGCCTTCAGACCCTCAGGAAATCCAAGAAATTGAATATTGTATGGGTTGCACAGTGGTGCATTGGTTAGTGCTGTTATCTTGCATTAAGAAGGTCCTGGGTTCACGTCCCTGCCTGGGGTCTTTCTGCAAGGAGTTTGCATGTTCTCCCTGTGCACGCATGGGTTCTCTCCGGGTAGTCCGGCTTCCTCCCACAGTCCAAAAACATGACTGTCAGGTTGACTGGTCTTTCAAAATTGTCTGTAGGTGCGAGTTTGTGTGTGCATGGTTGTTTGTCTTGTGTGTCTCTGTGTTGCCCTGCAATGGCAGTCTGTTCAGTGTGTATCCCGCCTGTTGGCCCAGAGACTGCTGGAGATAGGCGCCAGCCCCCCACAACCGTGCGTGGCTAAGTGGGTACAGAAAGTGGATGGATGAAGGGATGAATATTGCACCTTCTCGACTGACCTTCCAGATCCTCGTATTTAGCTAGAAGTTCAACACCCTTCTTCAGCATCTCTACTGCGCTAACTTCATCAGACCAGATGGGGAGTCTGTCTTTTACCCCATTATGCTAGACCTGACCTGTTACACCTCCAACTGAAGAATTCTAATTTCTGTACACATGTCTGTACCAAGCTCAGACTTAAAGCCAAACTGATTATCTGATTTTTTAAGGTGTCATTAATTCTGTCCAGCAGAATTCTTCCCAAGACTTTTGAGAGCATGCTAGCCAGAACAATGAGCATACAGTTATCCATTCTACCAGCTCTCCCACCCTTGTCTTTCATCACTGGGACACAAGTATCTTAACTAAATAATCTTTTTACGTGACAGTTTCAGCTTCCTGCTCGGGGCCTTCTTCCTGAGCCGTCATCTGCCAGAGCGATGACGAGGTGTATATCTGGTATTCCCCTTGTGTGTCATGTTGGAGTGGCACATGGAACTATCAGGTCCATGTTGACGGTCACTCCCACTTGTGCTGGATGTTGATGGCTTCTTCTTGAGGAGAGAGTCCAAGGTCCTTGTTAGTATGTACATCCCTCATCCCTGTTGATGGACGGTTTTTCTTTTCTGATTGTGAATCCTTCTGTATTTGTCACTTTCGTTCCCTACTGTGAGTGTTATTACAGTCCATAATGTGGTTGTTCCTTTTACCAGTGTTCAGCAATCGCCAATTTGGGGTCTTTTTGTCTGCCATGTTTTTTCTGTGCCTGGTGAGTCTGCCCTTCTCACACTCCTGCTGGTGTTCTTTGTTTCCCTGATGTAACCCTTATTTCACCAGAGGTATGGGATCTGGTTGTTGGCCTGGGTTTATTTGGGTGTACCAGCAGCTGTTTCAGTTGTTCAGTTGTGTAATGTCCTCTTGGTGCGTTTAGTTTTTTCGTGATGTTTTTTATCATGATGTTCTCCCCCTTACTGTTTATTTGTTTTGTTTTTTTGTTTGTTGAGTACTTATAATAGAAATCTTTTAGTGCAAGCCCCCACCAATTTTTTTTTTCACCATCTGCCACTGATCTAGACCACATGCCCAACCCACGTCAGCTGGCCCCTCCTGACATGGATCTCACCCTATCTGTCAGACATTACCAGGCCATTCTTCAGAGGAAACTCATTTTGGTCACCTGCATTTGTGATCTTGTTCTTTCAGTCATATTAACCTACAGCTCATGACTGTAGGTATGTGTTCCTGTGTACAATCTAGTGACATATTTACTCTCAACAGGGAGGGCATGGTGCAACAAACAGCATTTTTAATCACTAATACTCATGCTAACTCAGAACTCTGCTAATCATTGTGGATGTTCTCTAGCGGTTCTGTATCTAATATTTTAAAACAGCGAACATCATGTGGCACTGAGCGATGTCTTCCTGTGATAATAGATCTATAATGTAGTTTACTGGCGTGAAAGGGAACCAATCAGCAGCTTTTGTTCTTGCCCAGCTCTGATGTCATTGGCTGCTGCAACAGGACTAGAATTTGAGAACAACAAACCTGTAGACAGATGGTGGCTCTAGACTCTAGAGGGAGGGAGCACACAGATGTCCAACAGCAGGATCAGTTTCACTAAATCACAGGTTTAGTCCCCTCATCCAAGCCCCGCCCCCTTTTCCTCAGTCTGTCTCCTCACAGGTAAACCTGGCTGCCAATCAGCTTGCGGCAGAGCATGTTGTTGTTTTCCTTTGACAGGTTGGGGTGAGATGGTTCAATATGACTAATTAACACTGGAAGCTGATGAGTGTGTGTGTGTGTGTGTGTGTGTGTGTGTGTGTGTGTGTGTGTGTGTGTGTGTGTGTGTGTGTGTGTGTTTGGGGGGGGCAGATGGAGTCTTAAGTGGTGCTAATATGAATAAATCCTGAACAAAAGGGAACATTTCAGATTAGACAGGAATATTTTCCCACAAACAGCAGGTGAACTAAACTTTGACCATTTCAAATGTCGACTGAACAGGTTTGATGTGATTTGTCTTCACTACTGGCAGAGCTGCTGTTACCACAGTTACCTGCTGTTTGTGAGACGCTGAGTGAAACTTCAAACTTGTGGTTTACACATCTAATTGTGTCTGTAAGAATTGTTTTGACCACACATTCTGTATTTGTTGTCTGAATAGTCTTTTATTATTCAGCTAATTGTCTACAAAATAGCAGCGTTTGTTATTTGCATAAGAAATGAATAATCATTTCATGGATGAAACTGTCTGACATGGTATACTTTCAATATCTGGACGTGATTACAAACTTGACCCTAAAGTATGCACAGGAGAAGAAGAAGAATGAATCACTTCACACATTTAAAGTTGATGACCAATAATGTTGTTATTGTTTACACTTCACATAAATAATAGATGGACCTTTTTAGATGCGTTGCAGGCTTGATATCGATGACACACAGACTGTCTCAGCTGTAATCCTGCACAACACGGAACTACACAAGCGCAGTACAACATGCCATATGGTGAGGAATCAGATTCTGTCCAGAGAGTCAGACAGGCAGCCAGTCAGACAGACAGGTGGGTTCAGTAGGTTAAAGCAGGTATGAGGCCAGATGGTATGCTCTGTGTGTGTGTGTGTGTGTGTGTGTGTGTGTGTGTGTGTGTGTGTGTGTGTGTGTGTGTGTGTGTGTGTGTGTGTGTGTGTGTGTGTGTGTGTGTGTGTGTGTGTGTGTGGTTTGTACACGAGTTTGAAAGCCGATAAATCATGTTTTTGAAATTTCTTAATTTTTAACGGATTTTTCTTGTTTAAGTTTTGTAGGAAAATACGTTTTAAAGATTCCTCTGATAGAATTGTTTATTAATCTTCCTCTCATGTGTGTCGCATAGCTAGTTTTAACATTTAGCTAATGAACTCGGTGCACTCAGCCAAATGTTTTCATTTTTTTTGTATATGATTTATTTTTAACTTTTTCCACAGTTACATCACATCCACATACCTACACACTAAAATAAAATAAAAGAAAGAAAAATAAAAGAAAAAAATAAAAATAACAAATAGGCAACCAACGTGTGGCTATGCCAGCGATAGCTCTACAAGGCCGAGGTTAAGTGTCCATGTCGAGTGTCACAGAGGTCACATGGTCTTGGAACGGCCTCCAAATTTTGGCAAAGTCGGTTTCCGAGCCCCTCAGGATGAACCTTATTTTCTCTAGTCTCATAAAATAGAGGGCATCTTTAATCCAGCGGGAGTGGGTCGGTGGGTGAGGGTCTTTCCAACTCATCAGGATACCTCTCCGTGCCAATAGCGTAAGGAAGGCAACCAGATCAGCAAAGTGAGATGCAAGGAGTGACCAGCAGGTAGCACCCCAAATAAAGCTGTCAGTGGGGATCGTGGAACCCTCCAAGACACAATAAGTGAGAGTGAATTAAAAATAGTCCCAGAATTTTGACAAGGCATTGCAAGTTAAAAACATATGGGTAAGATTATCTGGACCCTGATTGCATTTTACACAGTTGGAGTTTGTACCTGGAAATATTTGAGCCAACCTGCTTCTGGACCAGTGAATCCTATGTACTACCTTACATTGAAGTGTGCAGTGCCTTGCACATATTGAGGAGGAGTGAATACACCTTAGGGCTGGTTCCCATTGGCTGTTATTAATCTCCATGTTAAGTTCCTCAGACCAAGCAACACGGAGGTGATCAGATCGCGCCACAAACATGGAGAGGCGAACATTATAAAGTTTGGATATCGCTCCTTTCTGGGAGGGTTTAATCTCCATCATATCATCTAGCATAGTGTTCACAGGTACAATGGGAAAACCCATGAAATATTTTCTGATAAAGTCCCTGGTCTGCAGCTGTGTAAATGAGGCCAAAAGGGCATCCACAAAAATGTCCTTCACATGGATCAGCCCGTGGCTCCTCCATACCACAAAAGTTTTATCTAACAGGGATGGAGGAAAAAGCGGATTCTGGTCAAAAGGTAAGTGCAAAGGTATACCCTGGGTTTTAATATAACACCTCATTTGAGACCAAATCTTAAGACAGTTTTTAACTATAGTATTGCTAGTGTACAAATGCTGGCTAACGTTTGAAGGGAGACACAGGAGAGAGAGCAAAGAGGCAGAGTCAGATGTGGCCTTCTCCAGTCACAGCCAAACTGGCTCTGTAGATTTGGTCTGACACCAAAATAGCATCGTGCGAATATTAACAGCCCAATAATAGTACTGAAAATTTGGAAGGGCAAGGCCCCCCAGGTCCTTACTTTTCTGTAGAAGGCTCTTGCGCATTCTGGGAGGTTTTTTGTTCCATTAGAACTGCAAAATAGAACTGTCAAGAGTCTGAAAAAAACTTTTTGGAATGAACACCGGGATGCATTGAAAGAGATACAGGCATCGTGGCAAGAAGTTCATTTTAATACAGCTAATCCTTCCTGCTAAGGAAAGAGGCAGCATAGACCGGCGCTGCAAATCCTGAGCCAACTGCTCCAACAGAGGGTCAAAGTTAGTTTTAAAAAGTTTAGAGAAGTCCTTGGTTGCAAATGTTTTCATTTTAAATCTCTAAACGGGTGCTAATGAATCTATCGCCACTGCCAACATCAAGTACCCGAGCTATTAACCACTGAACTGCTCTTTGTTTGCACTTTTAAATCCCTCCATGTCTCACACATGCTGACATGTTTCATCACTACTTTTTACACCAGCCATATAACATGCTTATGTAATCTCCACTGCTGTTTATAATGTCCTCTTGTAGTGGTTCGAATTCACGTCCAATTTATGCACTCTCATTCTAGACATGGATCTTTTGCAAAGGGCTTTTTGCTAATCGTTCAAAAACGAGTTCAAAGATTCAATAATTTACTCCTCAGACGATTTTACGTTGTGTGCCCCTGTTTGAAATCTGCACTGCTTGGAGAGGATTTTGTCACAAATTAATTATTTATTTCAAACATTTCCTCACTGGCATGTCTACTAGTGTTGTTACGACCTTCTTGGCACAATGAGTTCTTAAACCCTTCATTTGCCCTGAAGTGTAGAATCCAGAGACTGCTGCAGTAAGGCAAACTGAATTTTATTAATATAATCACAAACACAACCCTGGTTTCTTTTCTATGGACACACATGTGATCTCCTGTTGAATACTAATTAGTTTCTAACATGGGTTGTGTGTGTTTGGAGTCTTTCCTCAGCGAGCACATAGATCTGTTTAATAAAGTGTTAGATCGCTAGGTTTTAGTTTACGTTCATGCAGCGTCATCCAAAGTAAAAGTATGGGTTGTCATAACAAAAATCTCTTCTCTGGCCTCAGGTCACCTGCAGCAGGTGGACATGTGTAGCTTCTCATCCCACGGTCAGCTGGTGCACTTCGGCTTCTCTGCCATGTTTGGTTTTGGTGGACGGAGCCTGGCACGAGCAGAGAAGAAGAGATGGATGTCATCGTCACGGCGACGAGAGTATGCTCTGGTCAAGACGCTGGCCAAACTTCGGTGATTTTTTAAATGAGTTTAGAAATCACATTTGTTCTATTCAAAAACAGAATAATTTCTTTCACTTTCTCTCAATGCTATTGATCAGTCCAGAGATAGATCTATTCTAAAAGGCCTCACTTGTTTTTATTTATTTTCTCTCTGTTTCCATCAGACCAGAAGAATGTCAGCTGTCATTTTTACCTGCAGAGAAGTCGAACCACAGTTTGTTTGGACATCAGTGAGACACACACGTCTATTTTATTAAATGTGTCCTTACCCTTTGACTCTAGTTTCTAAAGAGTTAGAAAATCTTTTATAAAACAGCACCACCTCTTTGTTTTAGAAGGCTGAATATCATTTGTGGTGTTACTGGATAATTGTTTCAGCTTTTAAAGAACTGCAAATGTTCAGCTGTGCAAATAAACAAATAGAAAATGAATTTAAAATAATTAACGTTGATTTTATAATGATTTGGTTTCTCATCCAGTTGTATTTACTGGTTGTAAATCAGTTGGGTGTTTGATCTCTCCTCTTTCAGGGACCAGAATCAAGAGAAAGTAAAGGACTCAAAGTCAGGTGAGCGATGTATTTCCGATGCTCTCCTGTGAAACCTGATAGCCGATCTGGTGAAGATTTCTGTCTTTACTCTGTCATTCTGAACGACTGGTGCAGAAGTGGAAGACTCCTGGAGGACCAATCAGGGCCTGTATTTGAACATCAGCATAATGTCCATCCCCTGTTTGAGTCCACATGCTCCTCAAGGCCTGGCTCCCAACACCAGGTACATCAATCATTTGGTTTTTCCGACCCAACGCCACCGCTACAGTTTATCTCAAGATGTCCCTGCTTCCTGTTGCTCACCCTCTCTACTTCTTATTTGTGGCAGTTTGGCCAATGGCAGCGCTTCACTGACCGCAGTAGGAAATGCATCTAGGTCAGAGTTCATCAAACACCTGAAGAGATACAGCAGCTCTAGTGGGCAGGTGAGAGCCACTGGGGGAAGGTGTCAAACAGATTTTCTTCATCTCTCCAGCTTCATTAGTTGATTTTTAGAATTTTGTTGGTTAAAAAATGATCCAGTTATTATTCTTTTTAAACCTAGCCTATTAGCATCTCCTTATGCCTCTTCCATGTATTATGAAATATCTCTTTCAATTCAACTTAGCTGAATAACATTTATCAGTGATTCATGACTTTTTCCCACTTCCATGCCTAATTTACCTAAACACAGACCCTCATTTCTGATTAATTAAAGTGACAATGTGTAGTTTTACCAATAATCTCTGGAAATATCCATTAAAATGTTGTAAATGAATTAAAAGATGCCCAGTTTTTGGAAAATATTAGCGGTTTCATAACATATAACCATAAAAATCTGGTCTAAAATACATAGGAGCGGGTTCTAAGTCTCTGGGCGACGCCATATTGGATGCCATGTTTCCTTCTACGGAATCCCATGAGGACAGAATGTATTTATTGATTTGTAACAAATGGTTTCAAAACTTTCAGCATTTATAAACGTTCTTTTTGTACATTTACCTCTTCACTCATTGCTGGAGGTTGCACTCCCAGGGATTTCTGACCCTAATGACCATCCGTTGGTAAGGTCTTACTTGAACACAAAAATAATGCTTGCTTGCAGTGATTTAGGTATCTACTGCCCCCTATTGCAAGGGAAAATACACACTGTCACTTTAAAAGAAAAAAACACGTTTAACCAGCAACAAAATGTAATTTTGTCTAAATTAAGTTCTGTCAAACACAAACTGGATCCAGTCAGGATTTCTTTTTGTGAGTTTTCTTGTGACGTTTTTATCATTTCTCACAGGGGGAAAACCAAGCAACACTAGTTAGTAGATTAGCTTGGGTCAACATGGCCTGTTGTAACTTGTGAGACTCCACACTAACCCACTTTCTAAATATACTGACAATGTCTCGTTCGCCATCCTACAGAGTAAACAGGACAGTCAGCTGACCTACATCCTGTTAGCCTTCGTGTTAACGACCAACACGATGTTCAGGTGAAGCTCTGGACACATATCTGATTTAAGTCCCACATTTGAAGTTCACCTGCTGATCCTCTCAGGTGAAGGGTGTCTGCTGTGCTGTTTGTGCTTTAGGAGGTCAGATGGTACTTTAAAGAGAAGCTCGTCTGAAGATTCAGCACATTGTTTCCTCAATGGTGTCTGAATAGTAACAAAAATAGGAATGAAAATAGCTTTTTGAAAGCATATTTTGGGGATTTGGAAAGGGGGAAAAAATCATGTTTACTGAATAAAAATCTAAATATTCTGCAAGAGATGATATAAATCCAAACCCCTCTGAATTTTTATGTCAATATTATTATTATTATTTATAGCTTTTGATGCAGTTAACATACTATCTAACAATCTTTAGGCTTTTAGTGGACTGCATGTCTTTTATGTAGAGTTTACAATGTCACACTCTGGCTTGTGTGTCCAGGACTTTGGTCTCCAAGTTGGGCATATTAAAGTGCTTTTTTTTTTTTTTAAATGAATTGAAATCATAAAAGTTAGTTTATTGGCTGTAAAGCTGAGTTGCAAACACATTACAATACTTTTCTTTCTGAAGTAAACTAATGGATATTACTCGTTTTAATTTGTCTTTGAATAAACCATATAAATATGTATATTTTTCTTTTTTGTTAGTTTTCACCACAGGACTTTTGGTTTAAGTGGAACATCAACTAGATCTTGATGGTCAGATTTATTTGAAAGGCTCTACAGCCATAGGATCGGACTCTGTTGGTCTTTGCTTCCCCCTCTTGGGACCTCATGGTATTACAGCAGAAGAGCAGGAAGGAGCTCAGGAAGTCACTGCAGCCCAACAAGCTGCTTAACAAGGGTTTAGCAGGCCTCTCTGTCTTCCTCATTTCAGTGTGATACATGCATGCACACACACACACACACTGACCCTCTGATTGTCTGCAGTTCAGCTTCCCCTTTGTGGAGACACATGCAGTGTCAGCAGTGAAGATCCGTCCCTGCTCATTGACTGGCTGTTTTGACGAGGAGAGTGAAGAGGAGGGAGACTCCAAAGACACACCAATCATCCAATCAGAGGAAGCTGCTTTTCCCTGGAACATCGATGGAGAGCTGGTGGAGATTGCACGTGAAGTGCACATCAGGTGAGACGGTTTGCTGTTACTGAAAAATAAATTTAGGTTTCTCTCAAACACAAAAGCTCCATCTGTTGACCCTAACCCTCAGGATTACAATGCAAGCTCAGATGAAAGCATCCCAGCTGTTTGTGAATCTGATCATAAACAAAAATTGCAATCAGATTTAAAATAATTTGCTACTGTTAGGTAATAGCAGCAGAAAATGATCGGACAGTTGGCAACAGCAAAATCTGGTTGTGAAAACATGTTTATTTACAGACTCCAAATAAGGCATGAATGATGATGATGTCATAAAAGGCCACTGAGAAATGTGTTTAATGAAAAATAAGTATATTCTTAAAGGTTCAGGTTCAGAAATGAAAAAACTGAAATTAATTTCTCATAAAAGATCTATTTGGTTTCTAAATTCAAGATTGAAAAACAATTGGTTGAATGTCTGTGGTGTGTGTGTGTGTGTGTGTGATCAGGATCCATCCAAGGCTCATCACTTTGTACGGGGAGGAGGTGGACGAGGCCGAATCCACCGTCACCTGCAGCTGCATCTGACAACAACAGGGGGCGTTGGTGTTTGTGCTATCTGGGACGGATGTCACCATGGTAACCAGACTAAACAGCTTTTCCTGCATCTTTGTGGTTCCCATAAAAGTGGTTCCTAATCCAGAAATGAAATTTACACGAGAGAAAAACTGTTTTAAGGCTTTCTGGTGGGAATAAAGCTTCATTCTGTTTCTAACTGAAGCTGCTTCCGTAATTCTGACATTCTTTATTATTAGGCGATGGACCCATGACCGTTTTATAATAAAATCAATGTTTACATTTTAATGACCAGAATTTTTTATATCTCAAACTGTTGTGATTTTCTCTAAACTGAGTCTGTTTCTGCTAATATTGTTGCATCAAACGTTACCAGACTGAACCTGTGTGTAAATACAGCAAAAGTTTTCATTTTATGAGTTTTTTTTAAATAATTATTTTATGATAATACTGTAATCATGAGAAAAAACAAGCAGCTGCTTAGATAAAAATCTTTTTATTTTGATAAAAATGTAATGAAACCAGTGGAACTCTCCAGTGCATTAAATATAGCTGATAAAATGTATTATAAACACTTGTGGGACATATATTTGTAAAACCTAAAAAAAAGGAAAATATTTGTTTAACACTTTGCATTCACAGAATACAAAAAGAAAAAATAATATTTGATTTAATAAATGTTTGTTTCAAGTAATCATCCATCATTCAGTCCTACTGTTTATTTTCTTGCAGATTTTGCTAAATTTTGACATTTTCACGCTGCAGATTTGTTTATAATGTAGTCACTTGAAAAGCACTGCATAAATTAAATTAAGTTAATAAGAGTGGCCATGTCATTATTGTCACCAATAAAGGCTTTCCAAGACTCAGACTTTCTGCTCCTATGTTTTTACGTCCTTCCTTATAATATCTGCAGCTGTTTCATGTTCCTACAACTGATGCTGAAAACAAGCTAAAGAGCAAAAAGCAGCATGGTGCCCGTTACCCAGCATCACTTTATAACCATCTTCAGAGTGCAGCAGCAGTATTACTTCCCTTTTCCTGCAGCTCCTTCTGTCATTATCCAGAGAGGTCTAATGACGGTGTTAAATGATGCTACACAATCAGTGAGTCTGTGCTGTTTCAGCAGGTAAACACGATGAAGAGAATCACAAACTAAGAAAACGTGTTCAGAAGTCAGGATTCCTTCCCCTGAGATCGCCTGAAAGTAATTTTGTTTGGTTTGTTTCCTCCTCAAAGTTAATTCACATCTCAGGAAGCCTCGAGCCCTTCTCGCTGGTCCAATATCGACAGTTTCAGATTCATCCATCCGTCCAGTGCTGCAGTCTTTTTCAAGACTTTAAATAAGTTATTTTCTTTGTGACAGAACATTTGGTAGAATAGCTCAGGAGGCGTCCATCACCGTCCATCATGAGCGTCCTCTTAAAAAAGTCTCAGTGTGAGCTCCTCTCACGGTGAGAGGTCAGAGGCCACGGTCCAGGGCAGCAGTGGAGGCTAGGCAGAGCTCTTCCTCTTGTCGTGTTTAGGAACATAGTCCCAGCTGTCCCTGTTGAACTCCTGCTGCTTCTGGAAGTTTCTCTTAAAGAAACCAGCCTGAAAATCAGGCAGGGAAACAGGCATGAAGCTGGGTGCTTGTGATGTTCGACAAGATGAGCCATGGATCATCCACCTACCTTCCACAGGCACCAGATTAGAGCCGCCAGTATCATCAGGCCCAAAACTAAACTCACAACGATGATGGAGATCTTCACAGCCGTTGAGGGTTTCTGGGTAAAAACAGCTTCCACCACCAACTGAAAATATACCACAAAACGTTTTACAGGTTGAATCAGTCATTGGGTCTCGTGTGTGCTCTGATTGGCTGACGGGTGTTATACCTGTGTCACAAGTTGAGAATTAATGAGGACAGTGTGACGATCTTCTTTAGGAGATAAAATCCTCGCCGTGCTCTCCAGCTTCATGATACCGTGACGACCCTGACGTAAAACCAAACACCAGGTGTTAATGGGTTTGCGAGATTTATAATCTTCAAACATGAAAATTAATCTGCCAGGTTTCCTCAGCCCACAAAAACTTACAGGCGCCTGCAGCAGAACAGCAGGGTTCAGGTTGACCTCCAGCTGTATGCTAGCATCTCCTTCTGCATCCAGGTTACCGAGATGACACACCAGCTGCTCACACAGCTCATCTTTGTGTCCACAGAACTACACACACACGTTTCACAGAACCAGTGTGTATTCAGAGTAATAAAATATTTCAGTTTTTATTTGAAACAAATCTATTATCAGAATGAAGCCTTGGTTACCATGGTGCGTGTGGAGGTGGGGGAGAAGAAGAACATGAGTTTCCTGATGAAGGAAGCTCGAGGGACATCACAGTCCTCGATGACCGAAACGGATGTGTCGCTTATCGAACACGAACCATGTGACGACTGCAGGAAGAGATGATTGTTAGCGTGATTATCTCCTCAACTCATGATGTGAAGCAACAAAACAAAACCTGCCACTATTACACCAGCTTCACTTTAAAAACACTTCCTTCAGTTTTTCGCCTGCTTGCTTGTCCCAGCTGGGCTCCACCCTGGGCATCAAAGGAACTACAAACACTACTAATAATTTCTGTCCTGACCAAACTTTCCACTGCAGTTGCTGCCGGGGCGTACCTTCCAGTCGATGACCTGCATCAGCCTGTGCCGGTACGGTGCCAGGATCTTCGGCAGTGCAATGCCCACCACGGTGTTTACAGCCCTGCTGGGACCCGAGTTTATCACCTAAAAACAACCAGAGTTTAGATAAAGGCTCTGAAGTGTCATCACATACAGCAGATGATTGGTATGTTACAGTTCACTCCAACTGAGTCATGTTCTGCTGACAACTTCTTAAAATTAAGAAAGCGTCTCCACTTTCAGTTCCCTCATAGAGTCAGCTGCAGGCTTTTCACACATCCGTGTAGAAACTAAACAAATGCAAGCTGGCCTACATAAAAAGATGCCAGTCTCATATTTTACATTTCTTATTTCATATAGAGATTTTTTTAAATGAAAAACAGTGAGATAGTGTGAAAATGTGACGTAAAGGTGCATTATGTAGAAATGAAGTGAAAAAGTCATCATGTGATCAAATTTGGTTACTCCAGCCACTTTAAATGATAAATGACCCGCACTTGTATAGTGCCTCTCAGAGTAAGGACTCCAAAGTGCTTTACACTACAGTGTATCATTCATCCATTCACGCACACATTCACACGCTGATGGTGATGAGCTATGATGTAGCCACAGCCGCCCTGGTGCGCACTGACAGAGGCGAGGCCGAAACATTGGAGCTGCAGTATTAGCTCGCAGGAGACATGGCAACTCCACACTTACTGATGGTAAACAGGAGTTACGTCCCTCCTTAGTTTGTTTTGAAAGGAGAAAAACTGACAATCCCCGCAGCCAGCTGGTTATGAAGCATGTTTCAGTATAGCCTTCCTTCCAAAAATGACTGAAACATTAGACTCTTTTGGGATTTTCTCTCTGTAAAATTATCACTACATTCTTACATACTGCACCTTTAATTAGCTATGCACTGATTGTGGTTTTGAAGGCTGATACCAGTTTCTAGTTCTTTTACAGGTCTGATTTGCTGATAGTCCGAGAACTATATAAAAAAACTCAATTTCATTTTTATTATGATTCTTGGATCATTTTTCATTTTTGAAACTGAAGACCTCAATGTGGAAGAGCTGTTGTTGCTAGAGTGAATTAGCACTTAGCTTAGGGAGTAGGGATGCACCGATAACGATAAAAGTTAACCGAAACCAATGCAGTTACCTTAAAGTGGCTTTACTGTAACTTGTCATTTCTGTTCACCTAATATTTTAGTTTTGTGATCATTTCTATATATATGTGTGTGTGTGTGTGTGTGTGTGTGTGTGTGTGTGTGTGTGTGTGTGTGTGTGTGTGTGTGTGTGTGTGTGTGTGTAGGTAGGTAGGTAGGTATTATCTACCTCACAGTCTTTTCCTGTTGAAAGCAGAGAAAAAAATAAAACCTGTATTCCAATTCGTTGCATCTTTTTTTGTGGTAGAAGTATCGGTATCGGTAATCGATTTTGGAGAGTACTCTGATCCGAGTATCGGTTTGGAAAAAAGTAATATTGTTGCATCCCTATTAGGGGGATTAGAGTTTTCATTAGAAGCAGAGATGAGTTTTCAACAAACAAGTTAGACGAGTTTTTATGATTTCTAGGGGTTTTCTTGTATTTTTTTGCTGAGTAGATTTAAAGAAACCTTAGAACCAGACTCACGTTGTATGTGTAGTTGAATTTTTCTGGGTAGCAATCAGCTGGAATCAAATCTTCATCTCCAAACACAAAAGAAGTGGGAGTCACAAAACTGCAAATACAAAAGAAGAAAGAAAATCTGTTTTTCTCATGTTTTATATATATATATATATATATATATATATATATATACACACATACATATATATATATATATATATATATATGCATCTATATATATATAGATACACACAGATAGATAGATAGATAGATAGATAGATAGATAGATAGATAGATAGATAGATAGATAGATAGATAGATAGATAGATAGATAGATAGATAGATAGATAGATAGATAGATAGATAGATAGATAGATAGATAGATAGATAGATAGATAGATAGATAGATAGATAGATAGATAGATAGATAGATAGATAGATGATAGATTAAATCTTATTTAGTTCTCTTTAACCCAAATTAATTTATATTGAAGTTTACATAACATTAAAAAAACAACAACATTATCATGAATTGGTAGTGTCTCACCCATGGATGCTGACACTGACTCCATATTTAAGAGGAAGGACGAGCATCATGGCGTTGTCATGGAGATACTCCTCCCTCTCATAGTTATCACTGCAGTGACAAAAATAAGGAAACTTTTAAAGAAAATAACAGCAAACGTCTCCTCTTTCCCAACTTCGTCTTACCTGCTGGTGTTGATGTGAATGTGGGCGTCTCCAGGTGTGCTGTTCTGACTAATGTCCAACAGGAAACTAATATTCATCTTTAAGAAATAAAACAACCAGATTTGTTTTGTTTTAATGATTCTTTAACACACACAGTTTTAGCTTGAATCTGTTTGCAAGAGAAACTTTGATATTTCAACAGATTCTTTCACAACATCTTTATAAGGAAATGAGGCAAGAGGAAGCATAAGAACTAAAGGTCCAGACGGTCTTTGACCTTTGGACTGCTGGATGTTTATAACTGGACCGAAGACCAACGATAAATATTTCATTTTGTAATTCATGCGAACCAGAAAATTTATATTCGTTTTGGTGCACAACAGCGAGGTCACAGTAAAGTTACCATTAGAGGAAGCCATGATTTTATCTAGTGTCCATCTGTGTCACTTTACTGTAATACACCACAGAGCCCCTGAGTGCAGCTAGTGTTGGTGTAATAGACAGAAAGCGTGTGATTGGTTGTTTCTTACCTGAGTGTGGGCTGGAAGGACAAGGCTGTTGATGTTGCATTGAACGCTCACGTCCGTAGCGTTAACCTCCTCTGTGACATCACATCTGATCCCGTTGTCCTGCTGCTCTCACACACACACACAGAAAGAGAGAGAGAGAGTCTGTTCTGATGCTGTTCTGCTTACTAAACCAGGAAGTGCAGGACAAGAGCTTGCTCACGTTCTGCAGCACTTTGATGTAGTGGATGTGTTTTGGGAATCGCAGCATCAGCCGAGGCATGAAGGCATCGTCTCCGGCATTGAGCAGAGAGGTTTTCAGCATAATTTGTCCAGATCCCAGAGCAAAGAACTTCTGCTGACTGATAAGAAACAAGATGGTGAACAACAGCAGAACATTTGGAACTATTAGGCAGTATACGTGTGAAAATACGTGTGAAATTTTCAAATTAGTCTCGTGTGACAATTTCGTAGTTCTCATACAAATTTCATAGAATTTACTTTCCCCTTTTGCGGCTGCAGCTGGTTCTCAAGGACTAGCGTCGCCTGCTGCAGGCTGAGATCAACTTAGATTCTGCTGAGATGTCAGACTTAAAGAATAAAACTGATATAAAAAGCTGTACCAGTAAGTCTCTGTGACATTTGGACACAACCATCAAGGAACAGCCTCTGTCCTGAAATATAACATTTATAAACAGAAAAGCTAAATGCTAAACCCAGCAGAGCCTGGACTAAAGTTATTGCTGCCTTTCTAAAACTTTTCAAATCTCACGTATTTCATTATGGTCCCTACAAGTGTGACTAAGCAAACTTTTTTGATTTTCAGCAGCAAAACTTGGTTACATCTTCTTCCAGCTCTTAGAGAGTTCAGATGCTTTTTTCCTCCTCTCCTCCCTATCTTATCCTAAGGCTCTTTGTCTGTCTTTGTGTGTACGGCGCTTCTGCATTTTTTCTGGAAACTGGAAATTATTAAAAATGGATCGGGTCATCTGGTCTCTCAACGTGATTGACAACATTTTTTCAACGATGAGAACGGAAGAAGGGGCTCCCGGATGCCCCTCTGGGACAGAGCCAGCTGGGCATATCATGGGCTCCTGGAAACAGTGGAACCTGATCTGCCTCTCTCAACTGTCTGTAGAGGATTCTGAAGACGTCTGGATATTCGTGGTGTTGGTGTCAGGTTTCGTGCTGTTTGGCCTGAGCAGTTACCTGGCTTATTGGAAAATTAATGAGCTGACGAGGAATATTGGCTCAATCCCGGAGCTCAGGGATGGATTACACCGCGCTGTGAACGCACAAACTCATATAATCGTCGAGAAGAGTCGTAAGCTTGGAACTTTGACTGAAATTCAGACTCTGGCACAGATGGTGGATTCAATCAAGGAGAAAGTTGATGGGTCAGCACGGATTGGGATTGATTAACTACGCCATTACTGGATTTGGAGGGGTTGAGGACCAATAGAACCCTAAGACAGAGAGGAAATTATCTCTGTCTGGCCCCAATACAATTTCTTATCTGAATCTGGTGCCCTTGAGCCTTTGAGGTTGAAATGATTACTCCCCCTCAGAAGAAATGTGGAATGCTGCCGTCGCCATGGTAACTCTGTCTCCCTATCCCAGCCTGGGCGGGACTGCGACCGGTGAAGGCCGTTGAATCGTTTCCAGAAGTCACTGTGCTCTCTAACCCAAATACCTCCTTCCCCTGTCCAGACTGAGGTGACGAGCGCTGCTTATCGTGGCTGCATGCACTGATGTGTGGAGAGTCCCCAACCCTACCTCCCCACCTAGTGGACACTTATGTTGTGTAATGTCTGAAGTCTGTTGCAATTCTGTCTGAGGTGTTTTTGCATAGCAAAGCTGCCCTCCCTGTGGAGGGTAACTCTGAAGTGCCTTTTTTTCCTCCACCTGACCCAATCCTCATGTAAACCCTCTGATCTCTATTAAGGTAGCATGACTCGGGTTGCGAATGACCACAGTCACCAATTATTGTCATGTGTCTATAAATGTATGTACCGGTATGTCTGATCTCAGAATTGTGTGTACTGAAACTCTAATTTCCCTCTGGGATTAATTAAGTATATTTGAATTGAATTGAATAGAATTTGAATCCAGAAGAAGTTTTGTTGGTGGTGTGACGCTTTAGACTTTTGCTTTTCTATTACTCCATCAGCAGCACATGACAGCAGCACAGTCGGGCTGGAGCCAGGATCTAAGCAAACTGCTAACTGATGTTGGAAATGATTCCTCCCGAGTGTGTCTGCAGCTAATTACCATCATGTGTTTTTGGGGAAATTATCTGTGGTGTTCATTAATATAAAAAAAAAGCTGAATGATTAGTTTTGTTTGACTCCAACATAAAACGCAGCTCTGCCATGATCTGTGTGAGAGACTTCTGACTAAACTTTAAAAATAACTTTGCTCATGGTTTGGTTCATCCCCTTGGGTTTATTTCTTAACAGTTCACACTGACTTCCTGCTGGATGTGTGTGTTGTGTGTGTGCTCTTACTGTGGCAGCACTAGTTGACCTGACAGCTGCATGTTGGTGGAACAGTTCACCAGGGAGCAGGAACGAGCAAACTGCGTCTGACGGAGGAGCAGAAGCAGAGTGTTTATGGAGCCAGTAACAATGAACGAACACAGCAGTCATAACTCCCTCACTGGTGATGCTACACACTGATTCTATGACCTCTGATCCCCTGACCCCAGAGTTGCAGATGATTAATAATGATGAACTCATGATCCAGCTGTGAGTTCCTCTTTGTTAACAGTTTCTGCTCTGCAGAGGGGAAACAAAATGGAGCAGGACGTTAAGTTAATGTGCTGCAGATGAGACATCCGCAGCTGCAAACACATCTGGGTTAGCAGGAAGGTGTCTTACTGTGCCTCTGCCTTCAGATGAGCTGTTCCTTTGTGATTCAGAGGTTGAAATCAAATGTTTTGGTAATTCTTTTGAATAAATATTTGCAACTCCCAACATCCTAGTTGAGGTGGCTTGGGCATCTGGTCAGGATGCCTCCTGGACGCCTCCCTGGTGAGGTTTTTCGGGCACGTCTAACCGGGAGGAGGTCTAAAGGTGGACCCAGGACACGTTGGAGGGACTATGTCTCTCATCTGGCCAGGGAACGCCTTGGGATTCCCCCGGAGGAGCTGGCCCAAGTGGCTGGGGAGAGGGAAGCCTGGGCCTCTCGCCTTAGGCTACTGCCTCCGCGACCCGACTCCGGATAAGTGAATGAAAATGAATGAATGAATGAATGAATGAATGAATGAATGAATGAATGAATGAATGAATGAATGAATGAATGAATGGATGAATGAATGAATGGATGGATGGATGGATGGAACTCCCAACATTTTCTTTTCTCTGAAAACTGAACCTAAATCCTCACTAAAATCTACGATCCCCTCCCTGCCGTCACAAAAAAAAAATAATAATTTTGCCTTTGTTATACACGTTGCTGAAAATATTTACTATATGCTTCCCCAGTAACACATTCTGCTGTATTCCCTCAATATTTTACTTTTAATGAGGAGTTTTTAATTTCACTTTATTTATAAAGCCCTTTCCACAACCTTATTGGATGCCCAAGGTGCTGGACAATGCAACAAGAAACAAGTACAAGTAAAACTATAAAACAGCCATAAAAACATAAAAACTAATTAAAAGGCCGCATCACATGCAGGACAACGAAGCCATGCTACGACATCTACTGTTAGAAAGCCATGACATAAAAATGCGTCTTCAAACGGGACTTAAAAACCAGCAAAGAAGGTGACCGGCACACGGTTAAAGAAAAATCACCCCGTGACTTGTACTTAGAACGTGGAACAGTTCCCTATCAACTGAGCAGAAGGTTCTTGATAGAGCATGACTATTCAAAAGGCTAGCCAAGTAAGAAGGAGCAGTTCCAGAGTTAGCGCCTTGAATTTTGCTCTGAAGAGCACAGGGAGCCAGTGCAGACATTCCAGCACAGGAGTAATGTGCTCCCTGCGTGTCGTGCCTGTCAATAACCTGTCAATAACCTGTTTTTCCAAAGTCAAGTTTTGACCCCTGCAGTTTTTACCACCCAAAAACTATATTACGCTATATTAAATTGACACTGGTTGAGCTCTAGGACCAAGCAGAAAACAACCATTTGTGTTCAAGCCTGTTTCCCATTAGAGCATACTGTAAAGATACACCCCCCGTGTCCCCCCCCCCCCCCACTTCTAAAGTGAAAATTACGTCCATGCACTGCACCCTGACTTAAGCCTAATTTATACTTGTCATTCAGCTCCACGAGGGAGAGACGCACGGAAGGAGACAATTTGCCCTCATCCTTCTCAGTCTCCTGGAGAGTGTTGCAAAGCAATTCCCTGTCAGGACAACAGAGGGCGTAGCGCTGTTCTGTGGTATCCTGTCATGTATTCGGTCCAAGATAGTGTGTTTATATTGTGGGTTTTTTGAATTTAAGAGACTTTTTAACGCAAGCAAATTTGTCCCTCATTCTCTTCCACCTTTTCATGCACTCGTCACCTCTAAACCCATGTTTCTCGTCATTTCCATCCACGAATAAAATTCACTCCAGTCACGGGGAATAAAATGTTCATACTTTTAGAGTTTTTCCATGAAGTATTCATCAAGCTTCTCCGTGTCTGCCGCTAGATATCCTTGGCTCTCTTTATGTTTTTGAGGGTGCAATGGTGGCGCTGCAGGCAACAGCAGAGTCCTAGCCAATCACAAGCTTGCATTCTCCGTATTGACGGATGGATGTCTAGAAAAGAGAGCTCGACTCCGTCCGTCCTTGCGAACCTGTCGGAGAGCCCTCGAAAGGACGGATAATGGTGTTGCGTGTGTCCGTCCCGACACAGACGGAGAAGTATAAATTAGGCTTTAGACCGGCATACAGTGAATTACAATAGCCCATTCTGGATAAAACCAAAGCATGAGTGACAGACTCCAGGTTAACTCACAACAGCAGCGGCTTAATTCTAGCCAAGCGGCGTAGGTTAAAAAAGCATGACCGCACAGCATAGTTAATGTGCAAATAAAATCGGAATCCATTTTCACACCTAAATAGGTAATGGTGATGTTCACATTAGCAGCCAAAGGTCCTAGTTCTACATCAGGGCTGGTATTATCTGCGGTACCCGCAGAGAAAACTATGACCTGAGTTTTGTCATCATTCAGACACAAAAAGTTAGAGAGCATCCAGGTTCTAATATCCCTTAAGCAGTTTAATAGGTTTGAAACAGATCCGCCTGCCCCTCGCTGAAGGGGAACGTAGATCTGGCAATCATCTGCATACAGATGAAACTTTACTCCAAGATGCCGAAGGAGAGGCCCCAATGGACCTAAGTAAATGGCTAACAGCAGAGTACCCAACACAGAGCCCTGCGGTATTATGCTAGTGAGACTGGCAGTTTAATGTGTTATAGACACAACACTGCTGTGAAGGTCCTAATGTGTTGCATTAGCTGTTACCTGGTTGCTGATGGTGTTACGATGGCCTTCACTTTGCTGTAAAATAGGCTTCAAAAGAGGAAAACTTCTAGAGACTTTGTGGCTCCTTGTTTCTCTCAGACCATAAGAAACCTGGAACTGAACCGGCGTATAAATGTCCTTCACATCTTTCTGTCAGGAAACAAGAAGGAATTAACACCATCAGCATCTCTGTAGCCACCTAAGCTAGTGATAAGCATGCTTTGTTGTTCGCGTTTTACCTTCTGATATGCCACATGTGTTGTGCAAGTAGTGTGGCTGTGTCGCACTTTGACATGTCCCCGGATGCTGTTTGACGTTCCATTACCGTGGAAATAGAAACGGTGAGGGAAGGACGGTTTGTGAAGAAGGTCAGAGGTCAAATTATACTGCAGATCTGAGGAGAAAAGAGTCACTTAAACATTTAAATACACATTTTCAAACATTTACAACAATAAAGAACAGATTTACTGGACTCCAGGTAGAAACACTGAGCCTTACCGTACCTATGAATCCTCTGAAACGTCTGGAGGATACAGTGAAGCAGATGGTAACGTTGAGGCAAACAGTTTGAGTCCTATGATTTCTGCACAGTGCCACTTGCTGGTCAATCTGCTCAGGCAGCAGCAGGGATGCATTCACCTGAATGACCGGGCGGGTCCTGCAGATTAGTCACAGGAGCCGTTACGGCTTAGTGAAACAATTAGATAGTCCTGTTTCTCCTGCAGTAAAAATCAAATCAGGAAGCTTCTTTATTAAACCCATGTCACCGGTGTGAATTTACCTGAGGACCACGGCTGAGTCTGAGAGGAACGCACCAACTGCCACATCTGCTGAGAAACAATCTCATCTGATTAAAATCCTCCACAGAGAAGAGAACTGTAATGATGCTGTGAGATAATAATTCACCCACCCTCGTAGCCATTTTCATCTATGTCAATACCAGAGTTTAGTGACTGTCCAAACATCCTCAGGTCATGACCCAAAGAGGACCCAGTGATCCTCTGAAACACACACACACACACACACACACACACACACACACACAAAGCACCATAATGATATTTTGTTTTACTGGTTAAAGCACAAAGTACATAGTGTAAAAAAGTTAATTAGAAGATCTAATTAAATAAAAACAACCGCATATCAGGTGTAAATATTCCCAAAACTTTCTGAATCAGTCATTTAGTTGAAAGTTGAGTTTTACCTGTGATGGAGTTGGTGAAATGCCGTCCTTCCTGCCATTGTAGATGTAAATGGCTCCTTTGAGGTTGTCTTCCTGTGGAGCTCCAACCACAACATCTACACACACACACACACACACACACACACACACACACACACACATGCACCAGTGTTTAGTGTGTTTTTACCAAACCAGTGTGTTTTAATACACTAGCAGATATTTGTTAGCCTGGCAAGCCAGACTAAATAAATGTATTATTTAGTCTGGCAACGTTCCATTGACGGCTCTCGGTTGTGGGGCGGGTTCTACCATTGTCTTTCAAATGATCTCCGCATGCTACTGGACAATGAATGTGACATACTCTTGTTTCACTCTGTTGCATCATCCCACCCACCAGGCATATAGAGTGCCCTGATTGGCCCACAAAGCGGATAAAGCTCTGTGATTTGTTCACTAAGCAGATAGAGCACTATGATTGGCCCACCATTATGGACCAATCACAGCTCTTTATGTGTTTGAAACCCCTCTAGAGAGCTGTGATTGGCCAGCCAGAATGCTGTTGGGGCTGCAGAGGTTCCAGTGGAGCGTTCCTAGACCAAACTTTGCAAAGCAAGAATGTGGTCTAGTTCACTAGGCTAGATATTTGTTTCATTGCATCATGATGTGCTTGAAAGGGGGTGCTTTATTTTTCCCCATGACAGACCTAAATCTATTTGCTTCAATTAAACCAAGTAATTGTTTGTTTCATGCAAAGGTTCACTTTCTGTTTTGTTACTATTTCTGGAAAGCTGCAGTAGAGTTGTCATGGCTCTAATCCAGCTGGAAACTATTCAGGGCAATTATAGCTTTTAAGTATATTATAAACATGACAAATCGCCAGTGCAATCCTTTCATATATAACCTGAGTTTATCAAAGGGCTCTGAAAGGTTATTTTTACCCTCAGCAAAGTGAGAGAGGCTATTTAACACACATAAAAACTTGTTCTAACACCTCACAGGACATCCCTAAAAATACACCTTCACCCTGTCAGAAGCCATTGGGTAAACATAACCAAGTTTCATTCAGATGTGTACCTCCAAAAGGCCACACATGTGTCTGTGTACACATATATGACCCCACAACATGAGCAATAAAAGCACACACGGCTTTTTATCTCACTGTGGCAGATTACAGGGCGAGCTGAGTTACAGTTTGTCATTACAGTTTAATGAGCTTAATAACACACTCCACCCCTCACACACACCCACACAGATGTGAGTGAGGGGGTCTTGTGTGTGTGTGTGTGTGTGTGTGTGTGTGTGTGTGTGTGTGTGTGTGTGTGTGTGTGTGTGTGTGTGTGTGTGTGTGTGTGTGTGTGTGTGTGTGTGTGTGTGTGTGTGTGTGTGTGAGAGTGATGTGTTGAAATCACACTTTATTATCAGAATGTTGTGGAGAGTGGTGATCTTTGTGAGCTTCAGCAGAAGCTGTGGTGAAGTAAAAAAAATTAAAGAGACCTGACTACTTCAGAAAATTACCACTTCTGTAGTGCCCTGGAGCTAAAGCGGCTAACCTACAGCTTTTTAAATGACGTTCCTCAGTGTTTGTACTAGCAGCATTTACCATTTGCTGTGTTTTGGTAGCAGGCGATGAGTAAATATTGTTAATATCATAAGAAAAATGCAATTTTTCCTCATTGTTGAAGGAGACTGAGTAAACGATGGAATGGTAATATGTTAGTTTGGCAGCAGCTTTTTTTGTTTTAGCTGTTAACTAATTTATGTTTCATCAGTGCAGGTGTGTCATTACCTGGGTAACCATTGTCATCCAGGTCCCCGAGGGTAGCGATGGTCTCCCCAAACCGGGCAGCGAAAGAGTTGCTGCCTTTCAGCTGGAACTCTGCCTCCTTCAGCTTTGCCTACGAGAGTTTGTGAGGATTCAGACAATCTGAACTGTCAGGAAATATTGGATCAAACCGTAAAATTTGTCTCCCGTTATATTCCTACCTGTCCGTCGTTGATATACACATGCACTCGTCCTTCCTCTCTGGTGACGCCCGTTGCCATGGGAGCACCAACCAACAGGTCCGATAAACCGTCGGCGTTCAGGTCCACCACACACACACTGGAGCCAAAATAAGATCCCAGCTGGACAAAGACACACCTGTTATAGACCCACTGTTTACAAAGATGGCCGTTAATGATAAATAACTTCTTACTTCCATTCCAGACACTTCTGAAACCACCTGCAGCTTCTCATTGATTACCGAGAAGATGAAGACCTACGTGATGAAGACACTGGCTTTAATCACCAGATAACACACAGGCTAGGACCATGAAAATCCCAACTAATCATGGTTTTAGAGGCACTCTTACTTTGCCCCTCTGGTTGTATTGTGGAGCTCCACCCACCACCTCCACAGAGGAAGGACTCAGAAAGTGACCCGCTCCAACCGAGTAACCTGGAGCATGAGGACACAGAGTCAGTGCAGACAACAATGTCACATTCTTACTGTTCTGGTAGTTACGGTAGCAAAAAGACACAAACAGGTGTACTTTAGACCCCTGAAGTTTAGGGGCAGTTGTGTTGTTGATGATATAACAGGAAGGAAGCTTGTTCGCCGTTGCTGACAATACCCCACTCCCCAACAGAAACATCCTCCTTCAGACCACCAACTTCCTTTCTAGAGGGAAGTGGGTTTCATCACTCCCCACAGTGTGGTGAGTCGGGTTCCAGGAACAACAGGGTCAGAAATTACAAGCCAGTGAGTTTTAGTTTGACATCTCGGATGAAAGAAACCTGGTCGTAACCACGTTGGTTTGGGTTGAAGGGGTTTGAACCTAAAATGGAATCGACTGAGCTGAGGGAATTCTGTGACCATCTGCAAGTTTAGATGTGAAAAACTCAGGCTAAGACATCTACACCTCATGAATGCATATCCGGGCTGCATCTAGCTCAGGAATGTTTAGCAGAATGTCACACCTTTCTGAAGGACTTCCTTTTGTGAGGAGGTGCTGGGAGATGGTCTGTTCCTACTGCGTGAACCCTATGTCCCCTAATCATCTATGTGGAAGACCAGGACACCTAACTGGAACCTAAAACTACTCAGTCAGTCAAAATAAACATGTTGCAGCTAACTGGAACAAAAAGGCGGGTGGTGATGTAAAGCACATTAACACTGAAGTGAAACCCTTAAACTCAACAGTATTTTAGTTAGAATAAATATAACCTCCTCTAGATGGTTCGGTGTGGCGGGGTTTTCTTCTCTATTTGTTTTAGAAATAAAAATAACTTCTGAAAAGTGGTCTCAGAATTAGTTTGAGTCATTTTCATTGGCTGTGTGTGGATATTTTTATTACCCAGGTAGCTTCCGAAGCTGACCGCTCCGGTGTCGTCATCCAGATACACTGATATCCCTCTGCTGGTCATGTTGTAGACCAGAACTGAACCCGTCCAATAGGACGTTCCTGGTGCCCCAAAGATGATCAGATCCTAAGAAAAGGGAGCCTCTGGGTTTTTATATGATGCAATAATAGTTCTGTTTAATCAATGATCCAATCAGATCACTGACTATAAAACCATGATGCAATAAACATGTCACCTGTGTGTGTTACTGACCTCCGTCATGAAGTTGGAAATACCCGCCTGGCACGATCCATAATTCTCACCAAACTTCCTCTGGTGGTCTGAAAGAGAGACACAGAGGTGTGAAGGGAGGCAACCGAGGAGAGAATATACAAACGTTTGATTTTAGTTGGAATTTGTTTGAATACTGAGCCAGGTTCTGTTATTAAAGGGGAGTTTTCCTCTCCACTGTTGCTACATGCTTGTTTATCATGAGTATTGCTGTGAAGTTACTGACACAAGTCAGTGACTCCATGCATTCGGCTGGTATTCCTTACCTGGGAGACGTAACTAATTGGAATAATGAGCTGAACTCAGTGCACTGACAAGTAGGTTCAATTGGAATGTTTACTTTATAAAATTCCTTCAGGCGACTCGTGTGAATTGATGCTACATAACAAAACCGAATTGGATTGTTGCTTTCTTGCCAAAAGAAAACAACTGCAACTATTTTCTAAAATATTTGAAAGAGGCTTTGCAAACTACAATAAAAACACACTTTTCAAGTTTCAACTAATGAAAATGTGCCTGATGTGTGTGTCAGGGAGTGTGAGAGAGAGAGAGAGAGAGAGAGAGAGAGAGAGAGAGAGAGAGAGAGAGAGAGAGAGAGAGAGAGAGAGAGAGAGAGAGAGAGAGAGAGAGAGAGAGAGAGAGAGAGAGAGCACAATGTGAGTGACATTTTGAATTATGTTTGTACCTTTGTAGCAGGGTATCATGTGTCGGGGTGATGAAAGGTCATTTCCATAGAGATAACACACCCCGTTGGGTAGTTTGTTGTTTAGGTTGTCTTGCCTGGAGTAGTAGACGTTCTTCCAGCGATGAGCACATGCCTGAAAACACACACACACTCAAACTACATGTGACAAGGACTCACTGCTAAGTCACACGTTAGCAGTGTTGTTGCTCCCATGACCCATAACTGTGTGTGTGTGTGTGTGTGTGTGTGTGTGTGTGTGTGTGTGTGTGTGAGAGAGAGAGAGAGAGAGAGAGAGAGAGAGAGAGAGAGAGAGAGAGAGAGAGAGAGAGAGAGAGAGAAATTTTGTCAGCTCTGCTGCGCAAGAAGATGATGGAAGAGTCTGGGTATTAAAATCATCCTGATCACACCACATGTTTCTGTGGTTTCTACTTTCAGCTCTCTGATGTGTAAATAATTGCTTATCTGTGTCAGAACTGCTACAGAAACACTGGATGAGTGGGAAATAACTATTAAAGGGATTTAATAACTGTTGATGCGGGTGTTAATCAGCTGTTTGATCTTATCATAAAAACATTAAGTGTTATTTGTGAGGTGTGTGAAACTGAGTTGTATCATTTTTTATGTACCGGCTAAGGTTGATCAGGCTGGTCAACTATGGCAGCCATCTTTAATCAGATTAATCAGTTCTATCCATCCAACGAGTACTTTCTAAATCATTTTCTGAACTCCGTCCAGTAGCTCAGGAATTATTTAGCACTACTCCCAACAGTAGGTACGGCATTTAGAAAAACCCCTGATGTCAGTTAGAAGAGTCCAGTTGTCTCTCTGAACAACACAACTAACAGAATCTCCTCCATATTGTCTCCAAACAGCTCTGAGCCAAGTGTTGCAACGCTGTGGAAATTATCACTAATACGTGGATGTGACTGGCTCACCCCACAGCCATCTTAGAAATGTTCTCCACAAAACAGACTTCAGTTGGAAACTTCCAAGACTCAAGAGGCTGACGCTAGATGCTATTTCTGGACATTAAATGGTTGTGAAAACAAATAGATCATCTTCTGAAAAGTGTCGCCGTAGACAGAATGGATGTCGTGTTTGGTTGTTTACTTGTTGCAGTGAGTTTCTCATAAAGTAGTCTGAGAAAGATTATTTGAAGTGGAAGTTCAAAAGAACTTCTTCTGGTAAATAGTGTGTTTTTCCAGATAAAATCAGTTTTTTTATGTTAAACACAGATCGTGTTTCAACTGTTTTATTTAGGTTCAGTTAGCCTCAGGGAGATGAAGCAACGATCATCATTAGCGATGGGTACCGAATTCAGTACTTTTTATGGTACCGACCGAATTCCACAGTACCGACTGTGCACCGATTCACGTCATTTGAAACGGTGCCTCGTTTCGGTACCCGTCCTTCATAACGAGAACTTGCCTAGACAGCTGCGCATGCGCAAGAGCGTTATGTCGTCGGTAGCTGCGAGCCAGTTGTAAACAGAGCAGCATGGTAGAAAGAACGCATGCTAAAGCTTGGGTCCACTTCACTAAATGTGATGGGTAACTGGGTGATGATGAAACCAGTGACAACGATCTAAGTGAGACATTCTCATCTTAATCTGCTCCGGTAGGTAAATAAAATGTTTAAGATAACGTTAGCTTGATATGTTAGCTTCTGTTTTGCTAATGGTGCGTTCGCTTTCTCCTCGGAACTCCCAATTTCCGACTAGAAGAACATGAACGTGCTCTAAAGTTTGGCTTCACTTTACTAAATGCGACGGGTGATTGGGTGAAGATGAAACCAGCGACAACGATCTAAGTGTGAGGCATCATCGTTTTAATCTGCTCCAGCAGCTAAATAAACTGTTTAAGATAAAGTTAGCTTGATAAATTAGCTTCCATTGTCACCATTGTTATCAGCTAATGGTACGTTCGCTTTCTCCTCGGAAATTCTAACTTCCCAGTAGGAAAAATCAAAGAAAAAGGATGGCAAAAGGAATGAAGATACACAGTAAATTTAGTTCACAGTAAAGATGTTTGCTTCAGTTTAATTATCAGCTTATAAAACTACAAGGACGATGTTAAAATACAAACAGTTGTATGTTATTTATCGTGATATTTATCAAATATGGTTATATATTGAGAAAAATATAAATTTAATTATAAAAGAGAATTAAAATATTAAACACTCAAAAGTATCAAAAATTGGTACCGTTAAGTACCGATATCGATTCCTAGGTACCGGGAATTAGTACAGAATCGATTCAAATGTCAAAGGTACCCATCCCTAACCATCATAAAGATTCTAGTGTCCTTACCAAGACACGGCCACCGTTTTGTTCCTCCTGTCGAGACAAACTGACGCCCAGCCACTGATAATCGCTCTCAGGTTGACACGTCTTCCCACAATGTGACACATCTGGACATAAACACACAACTGTTACTCCTAATTTCTCAGGCAGCTCTGCAAGAAGGCATGTGACAGCAAAAATAGACTTAAACTGAATAAACATTTACTTCGTGTTTTCAGTTTGACTGACAGTTTGTATTGCTGCAAAAAGACTACACACACACACACACACACACACACACACACACACACACCAGCATGCAAAGGTTGGCAAACGTGGTGCTCAGCCGTGATGTTGCAGCGGAAAACAGATCCGGGAGATTTAACCGATGGCTTGGAGGACATGTTAGCTACGGGAGCTCCAACCACTAGCCTAGAGGAGAAGAGGAGATACATTGAGGATGTTATTTCTCTGTCTGAATGGAGTGCTGTGTGTGAAGCATCAAAGAGCTTCTCTCAGTGCAAGTATCACCTAATTAATGAGTAAACACACACACACACACACACACACACAGCGTTAGGCTGTGCATGCATTGACTTTCAAAGAACATTATTATGATGACTGAAACAGACTTTAACTAATAAAATAAATGGATCAATAGTTATTAATAAATAAGCAATTTTTTGACAGTAGGGAATCAGAAATTCTCTGTAAACAACAGACTAATTGTGTAGTTTTTATGCACCAATCAGGAACATTCTGCACTAACTGAAGGTAAATGATCAATCAAAGTGTGATGCAGACCATTTATGAGCTCCATGACGATGCAGCAGCACTGAATATCCAAACATAGATAACTCGGGGCCACGGAACACCAAGCTGTGCTCTTGATCCAGGTTATATCCTGCAGCAGGACTGACCAAGACCAGGACCTGAACCAGGCCGCAGAGCACCCAAACATGGTCTCCAGGTGAGCGCATGTTGGAGGGCAAACTGCTGCAGAAAAACAGAGAAGATTATGACTTGGAGCATAAAAGTCACCCTGAACTGAGAGCGGATCAACATCCCTTTTAACTTCCTGCAGGTGTTTTTGGATTTGCATGCTGCTCTGTCAGACCTGAAGACGGTACATTTGTTCTAGTTTAAACTAAAGCATCATGGAACAAAGGCAACTTCATTGTGAGGATGCTTAAAGAGCAAGTCACCCCCTACAAGAAATTTACTTCACTCCCACTTCATGCTTGAAAAATGCAACAAATACTGTTGCCTAGCAGACCGAGAGGGTGGAGCCGCTAACAAATTCACACACACAGGCTCACAACGACATTGTGACATCATAATGTACCAGTTTACATCATAGCATACCTCTTAGCCAATAGCGGTGGCAGATTTAAATTCAAATACAGTGCAGAGTTTTTACCTGACAACGGCACAACACTACCAGTTTTAGGCAGAAAATTTAAATTTGAACTAAGATGCACTGAAGAACCAAATTATTGACTACACGTGTCTGCAGCACAGTTAGACACTCGTTTATATAGTTTATCAGAAAAAAAGTTGATTTGGGGGTGACTTGCTCTTTAAGAAATAAGAATCTCACATTTGTTTACTTGGACAAAATATTTCCCTCTCTGAGGGAGGTTTGAACATACTGTTTTATGATGATTGCCCCATCCGACAGCACAGACCCAGATTAAAGTATCCGTATTATTTCTGTTCATTTTGGCTGTCATCTAAAATCCATCCGTAAAGAGGAACGCCCCACAGAGGAGGAAGGTGAGGTTGGCAGGTGGAGCCATTTCAGCAGCTCTTCTACTTCATCTCTGCTTGTATTTTGATCAGCTCACATTTTAAGACATTATCAAAGCTCCTGTGTCCCATTTAAAACATTTAGATGAAAAAGGGAAATGTTCATTTGCAAAAACAGACAATAACCATTTTGATCAAAGTCACCAGACTTTAATTTGACTGCTGTCAACTCATGAAAATAATAAAAAGATGATTTTTATTAGTTTATTAAATCTGAGTAATCTGTATTTACAAATGAACTCTTTAAGCTTTTCTTCAAGTTAACTAATTGCTGTTTAGCCATCCTGACTGCCCTGTTTCTCTGTTTCATGTCAGAAGATAAGCTGTCTCCTGCTATCTCCAGTGTGAAATCACTATTTTCTTTCAAATCTAAATGAGGCGGTTTCACTAAAATCTTAATTTAGTTTTTCTCAGCTTTTCCTCTTTCTGGAGAGCCCTGACCTGTCTTCTCTTGGCAAAGAGACCAGATACTATACATTTATTTCTTGATCTGATGAAATTAACAACTTCCTGTCTTTGTGACTGAACTTTTCAAAGTTCAATTTAATCCCGATAAATTTATAGAAGTGACAGGATTAAATTGAACACAACAGCTTCATAGGGGTCATCACATAAAAAATGTCAGGAGTTTATCAGATGAAGTGAAAATGTCCATACCGTTCAGACAGCCAGCTGCGCGCTCAGTGAATCTCCTTCTCCTCCTCTGACTTTACTGAAACCTCCTGTTGCTCCAAAAACCCCTATAACTGTCTCGCGCGAGAAGATTCAGAGATTTGCCTTTTAGATAAACTCAGATTAGGCTACTAAAGAAAAGCAACTCACTAAAGAAGGAGAAACAAGCAGCAGCTAAACTTCATTTAGGTTTGAAATGAAATGAGAGCCGCTTGAGCGCGCGCGGAGACCCTCCCTCTGCTTACTGCACGTGTGTGTGCGCGCGTTTCCGCCCCAACCGCCCAAGCTACAACTGTGTGCGCAAGGAGAGCACGCGGATCCCTTTGTGTGTGTGTGTGTGTGTGTGTGTGTGTGAGTGTGTGTGTGTGTGTGTGTGTGTGTGTGTGTGCGCGCGCACGAGCGTGCAGTGTTTCCTCTGCAGTTATCATCCAAGTGTTAACGGAGTTTAAGGTCATTGTGACGTGACGTATCAACAAGCGCGCGCACACAGGAACTATTGTCACAAATATGACAATTTAATTAACATTTTTAATGAATCCTTGTTTACTTTGATATTATTTATGAGATCGTGTTATTTGCACAGGTGGCTTTGGAACAAGTCTTAAAAGTTTTATAAGTTTTGGAAGTGTTTTTAAGAACGGCTTAATTTGAACTAGATCTTCCCGGAACAAAATCCTGGAACTGTCTTATTTTGAAAGGACCGTTCAGGCCACTAATGCTACCAATTTGTGCTTTACGCAGGGTTCGAATTACGGGTGAGCTGAAAGGATCCCGGCTCACCCCAAAAGATGACAGGCTCCCCTGGAAGCCCTCAACTTACACACCCAGGGGGAGCCCGAAACGATCCTGGTTCTACTGACATTACATTATCTATGTGGACTCTCCAGGGATTACTTTCAGCTGAGAGGCGCAGAGCTCTGATCGTTGATGCGCTCCAGACATCTGCGTCCTTAGCACGGCCAGCATGTCGCCACCTCAAAAACAAAGTTAACACGCGATCGTTTATGTCGGCTCATTTCCTTTTATACTTGCTGTCTTTTATTTGTGCCTGATGTGTTTCGCTGCTGCGGAGCGGAGCGCATCACCCGTTTTATCCTCTGGTGACACCTCACTGGTGCGGTCAGCATGCAGCCAGAACTGTAGTTCAAAAGTAATTCATGAGGTGAAAAAATATGAAGCCAGGTAGCAGTTTTTCTTTAGGATTGAGAGGAGATGCAGGAAGATAATAAACAGACAGGACAGAAAAATTGTCAAATAAATAGTGTTTGTACCTGGTGGTTGCAACAAACAGACACCATTGAAGGTAATCAGAAGTGAGGAACAGAAAATGAAATTATTCTTTCAATGTTTAGATCAGCAGGAACTCCGAGAGGCTGCAGGAGTATCAGTGAGGCTGCTGCGCAGGGGGAGGGGGAGAGGGCTGAAGCAGGGGAACAGGAAAGATGCAAAAACTACCATGTGGGCGCAATTTTAATTGTCAAAAACTCCAGTGAACCTTTCAATTAAAGCATGTGTATTTTCTCCTTGCTCTGCTCTGCAGGTCAGGGCACTGTGAATTATGTTTTATTGCAAAATTATTTCAACCACTTTTGCATTTTTAGGTTAAAATAAACAAAAAGTCCCAATTTCCTTCTAAACATAGAGGAGATTTGTGTTTTTGCATTAAAAATCAATAAGAGGACTTCCTGTTAAACCATTTTAAAGATGGTTTAACCACTGTGTGATGTCACAACCATTGTGTGATCTGTAATCTTCACCATCTGAAGTGGTACATGTTGGTTTTCGTGTAAGGCAATTCACACCCACAATAACAGTGTGACTTGGGTTGCGCTAAAGAAAGTTACACAGGGGCAGAAATCAGATCAGCTCAGATAGACACAGATTTTAGGTAAATGTCGTCCATCATCATTTTCCATTGACAGTGAAGAACTGTGACACAATATAAAAGTATTAAAGGATAAAACAATTAATTAAATTAAATGATGTGATTTTTGATATTTGATTTTCAACCATCAAAAAGTAAAATTTGATTCTGTTGCTCACTTATTCCTTTGGCTTTTGCTCGACTAAACTGGTAGATAAACATTTGAAAAAAACAGTGTTTAAAGGCTTGATTAAAACATTTAATGTTGCAGGCTCAAATTATTATTCTTGCTTAAAATATTTTTGTTTTTTTAACCACATAATTTACATTATTTTCTCTAAAAAAATTAGAGAATATAAATTTTTGTTTGGGTCATTAAAGAGACAATGTGTAGTTTTTAACCATTAATTTTGGGAAATGTCCATCAAAATGTTATTGAAAAAGAATGAAATGATGCCCAGTTGTTGAAAAATATTGGCGGCTTCGTAACATATACCCATAAAAAATCAGGTCTAAAACACATGGGAGCAGGTCTAAAGGTGTTTCTCAATGTCAAGGAGATGTCTTGCAAGGTCTGGCTGGCGCCTTGCTTACGAGGACACTGTCCTTCCTTGGTCAAAGAAAATGGTTAAATGGAACAGACTTGCATCATGTGACCACGGCGGTCACGTAACATCACGTGACACGGGAGATAACGCTATATTTTATATGTATTAGCTTCAATATAAATGTATAACAAGCCTTTTACTTTTTAAATTGTGTTTATGTTTATTACATTAAATACATAAGTGAGTTACTACTCATTAGCCACCAAAGCTGCAACTAATAAGCAACTAACCAACCACAGATAACTTCTTTGGATCTAAAAAAAGATATTTTAAATTGGTTCACTTACTTTTAAACTTTAAATTTGCCCCCGACGTAGCTGTCGGCTTCTAATCCGCCATCCTTTTGAAAATTCTGTGGTGTATTCTGGGTAATTCTTGACCATGGCTAAGCTACGAGACACCTCCTGTGTATCCTTGCTCATCTAGCTAAATGGCTAACAAACGGAGAACACACGCCTCGGTAGAACATGAACACTGAAACACGTCTTGGCGGCTCCTGATGACGTGTCTCCTAAGTAACCGGGGCAGGGACAACACATCAAGGCGATGTTTCTTGGCATTGAGAAACACCCTAAGTCTCTGGGTGACACCATATTAGATGACACGTTTCTTTCTACGGGAGCCCATTAGGACAAAATGCATTTACTGATTTGTAACAAACGATTACAAAGCTTTTGTCTTTCTTAAATGTCATTGGTTTACATATTTACCTCTTCACTTGTTGTCAGTGATGAAAGGGCGTCTGATTTGCTTGTTATCTTGCTGAATGTTACAATCCTCAGAGCTTTTAGACCCTAATGGGCATCCATTGGTAAAGTCTTACTCCAACACAAAAATACTGCTTGCGTGCAACAATTTAGGTATCTACTGCCCTTTATCACCAGGAAAATACACACTGTCACTTTAAAAACAATCTCATGTGATGGAAAAGCTGGACAAAAACAATTTAGCAAACCTGCGACATTTGACAAACGTAATAGATGTGTAATAACATTAATGTAATAACAAACTTTATTGGCCATTTTTTATTCCACACCTTTTTATTTTTATATTCAAAACTTCACAAATAAAAGGTTCGCAAATCCTCAGAACTGTTTATATTTTTATCTGCTATTAAAAGTCACCCAACATGTACTGATCTGTTGAGCCGTCCGATACAAATACCTGTACAGAAAGTTCAGCTGAAACTCCTTCGTGCTACTGCTAATGTCTGACTTTGTGTTCCAGTGACTTTATGAGGAGAGCCAGATGTGGTGAACAGCTGTTGAGCTGAAGTTCAGATGGAGGAACATTTCTTCTGAAGTGTTTCGGGATTCCTTCCAGATCTTCAGTCATTTGTCAATAAACAAACTAAAATCACACAAACCAAACGAGAGGAGGCCATTCTTTTTCTGTGTTTAGAGTTCAGTATGTCCGCCTAACATCCCAGAATATGGGAACATCAAGTGCCTCTTCAGCAGAAAACACATAAAGTTCTTCATTTGTCCCGACACCAACTTTCAGCCTTATTTGGGTCATTCTGTTAAAAATAACTACAACACTGGTAGGATAGGAACTGTTACATACACACACATCTCCCAGTTTGTTTACTGGTATTTCCTGCATTCATTATGCTGGAATCTGACTGGCTACTGTTCCCAAACTCCCACTCACTCTCAGCGTCCAAAGGTTAAAGGAAGGAGTAAAAAACTATTTATATTTGCAACGTGATAAATTTTTCTGTGATTATTATTATTATTATTATTATTATTATTATTATTGTTATTATCAACACAAACGGTTGTAAATGACTTCTAGAGGTCTGAAACATCCTAAAACATGAGTACAAATCAAATTATCCTATTTAAACACAAGAAACTATTTAAATTGAAGGTCTTCCAGTTTTTAAAAGGCATTGTGCTCTAAACTAAATATTTTTCTATCAGTAGAGAATCCCACGAGACGGAGCCTTCTTTTTTAGCTACCAAATATGTCTTCTTGGCAGAGGTGGAGATCCAGATGACAAACATGTGTCTTTCCCTCATAAAAAAGATAAATCCAGCAGCAAATTTGGACTTTGTTAAAGTATACACATTTTCACAGCCACCAAGCATGATATATGCACTCCTGCTGGCTGCAGTTCCAAGTTATTTTTATTTAAACTTGAATATTTTATTTTTCATGTTGAAGTAACTATGACCACCAGTAATAGGGCAGATGTTAGAAGCCAGTGTGTGAAACAGTAGCAAAGATCCACATGGAAAGTTAATTATTGTCAACAAGCTTTCTGATGGGTTTTTTTTAATCACATGACTTTGTGCAGGATGTTTGAAACAGAGGTCTGGTTGTTGGAGTCACCAGACCAGAATTTATCATCCAATCTCAGATGAAAATGAGACTAAAGGTGTGTTTGTATGAGTGAGATCCTTCAGCTCTGCTGCTCCTCCAGGGTTCCTGTTATCTCTGATAACATCCGTTTAAGCGTGTGAGGCCTCCACTGAAATTACTGTAAACCCTCGCTCAGCCAGAGGTCACAGGCCACAGACGATGAGAAGATCTGAAGCGGATAAGCAGCAGTGAGATTAAAGTTAGATGGGTTCTGGTGTGGTCTGACAGCAACCACAGAGACCAGTATGAGCTGCTGGTATCAGCTGTGGTGTTTTTTCATTGTGGACCTCTCAGCTCTCACTTCTTCTGTTCACTTTCGTTCCTTTTTTTCACCCATCACAGAAAATTCAGCAGTCAAAAATAGATTATGTGAAGTGAAATCTATTTAAGCGATGATTCGGACTTCC